CCCAAAGCTGACAGAAAACACTGAGATAGTCCAGATACTTGGATTAAACGAGAATCTGGAGATAGGTGACTAACCACTAGTTATCACGGGGACCACGATGATGCGACCCAAGGTCGCCACGGGAAAAGTAAAGGACCACCACGTGTTGTCACGTGAAAGGAACCCGTGGTATAAGTCAGACTTGACTCTGGTCAAGTTTAGTTTTGTGTCGACCTGTTGGAGTGAGAGGACGAGCGTCTGAATGTGAGAATGTCTACGTGAGTGCCTGAGGAGAAAGGAGACCTGCCGACGAAGTGTTAAGCTGAGATCGACCATGCCAGCGTGTGAGATGTCCAAACATCAATGTTGAATCCATGGGACCCATCGTTGCTTGAATGCCTGCAGAAGACTGTTCGTTGAAGGCTGTGTGAGTTTGTGTACGAAAGCTGTTCACTAGGACACCGACTGGACTATTCGTTTGTCGTAAGTCTTAATACGTCAATAAATTCATGTCTCGTAAGCTCACATCGGTGTCGGCTTGTGCCAGTTGTGTAACGTGGAGCGTGTGAGAATATCATCCACCACACACGCATGAACACTGCTTAGACAACGAGTAGAAATACAAACCACTTATTACAAGTGGGTTCTGGAATCTTAAATTGTCTTAATGCCAAGCAGATAGGGTCTGTACCTGTACTGGAGAGGCTGATTTATGATATCACCATGCTTCAGGAATTCAATTTAGAGATATGAGTGCTGTTGATACATCAGTTAAATAAATTCTACCAGACAGGAAAGACATGGGCAATGTCTGCTGGTGAAGAAGGGGATGAAGCATGTGGTTCTTGACCTGGGACAGTGAAATCATGGTATAATAGAGGTTAAGGATATACAGAAAGATAATGGGGAAACAAGATACAATTTAGCAAATGTTTATGCTGCTTTTGACTTTCTTGTCACAAAAGAACACTGGGACTGGCTCAATGATTAGAGGAAACCCCTGGTAATAGGCTTTCAACTTGTGAGGATTTCAGTGCGTGGAACAGAGCATGGGACAGCACCATGGAAAACAGAGAAGAAGATGCTCTAGCAGAGGCTATGGTGGACGCAGACGTAGTCTGTATAAATGAGAGTAGAGAAACTAGAATGGCAATGAGACCGGTGATGCAGACACAGCAACTGATTTGGAGACTGTTACCAAGTCAACAGTGTAACACAAAATGGAGTGTCCTAGGTGATTGTGGCAGTGATCATATGCCAGTTTTGTTTTCTAAAGCTAGCAAGATCAGACTATGAGAGCGGGTAAGATTTTTAAGTATGAGAGGACCAATACCCTTTTTGGATGACTTTGACAGAAGGTTTGCAACAAAGCCACCAGCTGCTTTTGAGCAGCCTCTATGGTGGACCCAAGAAGTTGAACAGGCATGAAAAGCAAAGAAAGCAGCAGTTAAACAATAACAGAAAGTGCAAAAGACATCACATCTATTACAAGAGGATAGAGAACGCTGAAAGGCTTTAAAAAAAATGTTGAGGAGTTCAAGCGGTGTGTAGCAGATGCAAAAAAAAAAAAAAAAAAAAAGAAAACCGCTAAATGTTAACATTTTAAGAGTGAAATTGGAGGGGATAAACCACTGGGTGGGTTCTAGAAATGTCACAGACAGATGTACTGAAAGGATTAGCCTATCACATTACCACCTACTTGGAACTACATGATAAGTTCCCATCAACACTTGGAGGGTACAGGTTGAAGAAAGAGACATGGTTCAATGCTGCTGTTTTTGCCTACGATGTGTACGAGGGATTTCAGATTAAAGAAGAGACATGTGCGGCAGTGTTGGACTTAGAAGATGCCTACAATAAAGTACCATACGAATATTTAATGCAATTACTGCTTAAACTAGAAGTCAATCCTATTCTGATCCGCTGGATTGCTGCGGTCCTGTTTCAGAGAAAGATTGTACTAAGATGTGGTAGCTGGTCCTCAGAACCGCAAACGATATGTCCAGGCTTGCCACAGGGATCACCGCTATCACCAGTCTTATTCAACGTTTATACGGTGATGATCACTGAGCAGCAGTTGAATGGAAAGGGAAGGACTTTGTCATTTGCTGATGACATTTTGATTTATCGACGAGGGCGTGATAGACAGAAGATCGCCAGCACAATGCACAAAGAACTCGATCGAATTGCCGCCTGGTGTGATGGTTCCAATGCCTATGTCAATCCTTCGAAGGCATCAGTGTCATGGTTCTCTTTGAACAATCACATTGTCAAGTCGGACTTACCAGAAGTGAAAATGCGTGATAATATATTGATCAGAACCAACGTTATGACGTTTTCTCGGGGTGAGGTTCGATCGCAGCTTGTCATTCAGGGAACACGTTGACCATGTGATAACAAAAGCACGCAAAGGTCTATCTGCAATGAGGATTATGGCTGCTTCCAATATCGAACAAAGACTACTAATACTTCTATTCTACGGTCTGGTCCTTTCACCCATTGAATACGCTCTGGCCATCCTCACTGTCAGTGCTACCCAGATTGAAAGACTCGAAAAGGTGCAAAATGAAGCCATGCGCATTATTTTGGGATGTACAAGAGACACATCCTGTGAAGCAATGAGATATCTACTTGACTTTCCAACAATGAACCAGAAGATCAGGATGTGGAGGGCTCGGGCATACCTCAAAATATGTGCTGATAAGAAACACCCACTGCATCAAGCGCTTTTTAGTGAAAAGGGCGACAGACTGAAGAGGGGAAAATCAGGGCTAGGTTGGGCAGAAGATGTTATTAGGCAAATATGCAGCCTAACCAACATCATACCTGGTGAAGAATGGATACCTGTGCCTCAGGCGTTTATTTGTACATTTTCCTGTATTGTCACACTCAACAGGCGATGTAGAGAAGAGAATCCTGTTGCTGTTAATGCAGAGGTCAACGCTCTCATCGGTGAAAATTCAGACGAAGCAGATGCACTAGTCTATACAGACGGATCCGTTATACGTCAAAGAAGAAGCGCATGGGCATTTACAGCACGCTCAGAGGGCAGAACAGTCAAAGAAGCCAACGGTGCCTTCTCCATGACAACCAGCAGCATGACGATGGAGGTGATGGCAGTGACGCAAGCGTTTGCCTGGTTTGAAACACAAAAATACACCCGCATATGTATACTCAGTGATTCAATGAGTATGATCCGGAGGGTTCAGGCAGGTTCAGTGCGAAGACAATGGCTTGAATCATTACAGAAGTCCACTGTGCGTGGAGTCACCTTTATTTTTGTTCCGGGACACGCAGGCGTCGATGGAAATGAAAGAGCTGACAGGTTGGCTGGATCCGCTATCACTACCGACGGTCGGCCTATGGATCATGCTGATATTATCAATGCCCTCAGAGAAATGGGAAGGATAGAGGATTTTGGTGGCAGTGAATCCACATCACTCGCCAGAATGGCAGACTTGGGAATTAAGATCGGCACAGCAAAAAAACGAGACGCACACCGGACACGTCAGAAGACTTGTTAATCAACATAGAACTGGTACTATTAGCCATCGGACGTTGGGGTTCATACTGAGGGGAGGATCTGAGCACCTATGGACATGTCCGGAGTGCAATGACGATAACCCAACTAACTAACTAACTAAATTATCGACCTATCAATCTATCTGAAATTATACACACAGATAACAAACAGAAAGATAACAGTAAGTGACAAAGATGAAGGGGAAGCATCTTTTACAGAGATTTATAGCATAAACTGATAGGGAGCTTAGGATTCAGTTACCGATAACCTATCGAATACCATAAATGACAATTACTATCAGATATCATTAGGGCGCAGGATATATTGCAAAAAAAAAAAAAAAAAGCAAACGACCACATTAACGTCTCTCAGGGCATTTAGAGAAAAGTGGATTCAGGTTTACATGTGTCTGTGTGCTTACACGTGCGTACATGTGTGTGTGTGTGTGTATGCACTCGCACGCGTGTGCGCACGCATGTATAAGCGTGTGTGTGTGTGTGTGTGTGTGTGTGTAGCATACCTCTGGGTCAGTATGTTTCAACTGCCCTGGAATGACTCCTAAAGATTTTTGGTTGAACGTGATTTGAGGCAGGAAAAGACACCATCAGCAAACTGCACTCCACTCCCAAAGAGACCTTCCTGGAATGCTTTTTATAATAGCAAAGTGTTGGGAAAAGTGTCTGCAGTCACAAGTAAATTAATCTGAAGTGATTATGGTTTAGAGTGAAACACTATTTTTTTCTGGCTACAGGTTTATTTAGCAAATTAGTGTGCTGATAAACTTCCTAAATTTGCAGTAACAGAATGAAAGCACATAATAAACTTAGTAATTTGGAGCAAGAAAATAGAAGGCTAGGCAATGCAGCATAGGAACAGTACAAAAGAAACAATACAAACACAAACTAGCTTAGGAGATGTATGGTAGACATTGTGTTTTTTATAAATGCCCCAAAAGAGAGCTAATGGAGACGTGAGGCTTTACAATTAAAAAAAGCAGCTGTATTTTCTAGATTTTAACAGGATATTTCAGTTAAATATATAAACTTCTGTATCCAAACCTTGTAAACAAGTGAGAAGAGAATCACCAAACAGGTTCTGAAATGCAAAACAGATGGACAGAGCAAACACAGACATCCAAGAGAAACCCTGAAAGGAACATTGCTGAACGAAGCCAAAGGTGCTAGAGTAGATTCCATCCATATCACAATGACCACACAAGACTTTAAAGAGATGGAGGACTAGAATGCCAGCACTATGTGAGGTATAGCAGCATGGCTGGATGCTGGTGCACAAAACCACAGTAAAGGGACCAAGAATCAATCCACATGGAGCAGGATTTGTTTTGTCACTGACCCGGACTCCCAGGTCAAGCTAGCTTAAAATTGGTAATCAATGGATACCTGTTTAAAGCAAAAGACTTCTGAGCAACCAGCAGTATCTAAAGTAATTATATCATGTGATATGGAAAATTACCTTTTTGGCAAGTCATGATAATCTGTACAGGATGCCATATTCTACCAGCAGCTGACTGGCGTCTTCTTACTACCTACATACAGAAATGGCCAAAGACAATTATCTATAGAATTCGATTATTTTTGTTTAAAGTGAATATGCAGAACTTACCTTGAAGAAAAATGGGAAACATCTAATAACTACAATACATGAACAATATGAAGATTATTTAAATTTTTCTTTGAATTTCTAAAGATTAACCTCATATATATGTTTCCGTGTGTGGGTTCCGGGGCCCCATTATAAGGAAAACAAGAATAGACTCACTGCCTACCCTTTAAGAAAAAAAGCATGTCATAAGACTCGACCAGTTGGGAGCTTACATTAAGGTCAGAGTGCATCTGTCTGAGCGGCAAGAACAACCAACTACACACAAATAAGCCAGTAAAACGTCTGTACACGCAAAGCCAAATGGACGAACAACCAGGACTTTCCGCTGGAGTTTACAGCCAGTGAACAAAGAAGAAGATATATATGCCAATCCAACATTAACAAACATAATATAAATTAACAATATCTTTATCATTTTCTGTGTTCACCCTTAAAAGAGCAATTTAGAGATTTTGTAGTTTACAGCTAGGCTGCGATATCTGCACATTTTGGCCCAACACATCAGATTTCAGCATTAATTAGTAGCCTTTTACAACATGCTTGTCAAGGTAGGTGGCTTTGGGCCTATTTTTTCGCCTCCCCAAAATTGGGCACCAGAAACCACAGGAAGACAAGCAACCATATATAAAAAAAGTTATACTGGGGTATACCTGCTGTCCTGTGTGGATAGGGATATAATGATAATTACACTCGCTGATAAAGGTAGTATACTGTTACGAGGAAATAAGCTGTATACGTCAAAATAAAATATCTTGTTGAAATTTTAACTCATTGTAAACCACAGAATTGTACCTTGGGAACCTCAATAATGTGAAACAAAGTAGCAGCCGGAATACATTATAGAGGACCCTCTGATGATAAAACATAACAAGGAACAACTTCTCTTAGCTTTCTATGTGAATGCTTAGAAAAATATCACACAAGGCATGGTGAGTCTGCCCTGACCAGTCATTAGTTAAGTTACTTAGGACCAAGGATTTGTGAGCAGTATTTATCATGCCTAATTTCCCATCCCTGACCAGAGTAATGTCTTAGTCTGATGAGGACAACCTATGTTTTCATTTATATATCATAACAGGTCCGCTGTTTACCATTTCAGGATAAATGAAGACTGCATTTCCATCTAAAAGCCATCTCATGTTGATTCTGCATTCCCCTAAGCTGTATGTCATACCAACAGTGTTATGTAAGCATTTAGACAATCTAAGACAAATATTTCCTAGAGAGTCATCTATTAAAATTCACTAAACCAATTTTATGAAATTCACTAATAGTTGTAAATAATTACTTTAAAAACAAAAGGTTATAAAATGTATTCTCACAAGTAATAAAATTAATAAAGTCCATACCATGTGAATGGGTCCTAAACTGTTTCTTAATGCCTGAAGCGCTGTTCTCCTGTTAATACCGACAGTTTCCAGGCTATTGATCCTAAGTACTGTGTCATTCACCTTTAATTTTCCATCAGCAATGCCACCCTTGGACACATGACTCACAAACAGATTAGAATCATTTGGAAACTGGGGATCACCTTTCCCCCCAACTATATCAAATCCAAATTCTCCACTGTGTTCACCTTGCTGAAAGACAATAAATTAAACAAATACAAGAATACTATATACACTTAACCACAAGACAAATGAAGAACAGAGTTTTAAAAAGTATCCTTTAAAAATTTTTATGAATTAAAAAAATTGTTTTACACCCCCCTACCCCTTTTTGCCTTATATGTTTAGCTTCACAAAAGCTCTTTATTTCCCTATTTTCTCCTATTCTGTATTTCCAGTAAGATGTTGACCTCACTGGTTGTTTACAAGTATTGTTTTGTTCATTGCTAATGACTGGTCAAAATGTATGGTTGTATTTACTTACAACTTTCTATTGTCCATCACTAAGCTTTCTAGTCATTACGCTCTGCTGATTATGTACTGCAATTACTTACATTTTTGTCATAACTATGAGCATAACTTGTTTCTAGTTTGTATATTCTCAAGGTTGTGTAATGTTATATAATACTGTTAATGGTTATGATTATGTCGTGGATGTCAGTTTAAGTACTCTACATAAAACCATTCCGTGTCAAAATAGTAACTGCCAGCTACTATGCATAAAAAGGAAGGTTAGGTAAATCTGCAATAAGCAGATACTAACTGATCAGTGGACAACAACAACAACAACAACAACAACAAAAGTGACATAACTTTATAGTCAAAGTAAAAGGGTTATATTACTCCAGTAGAGTGATCAGGGATCAGACTTGTGTGATTCTCTCTTATATTAATTAATATGTTGTCTCATTGGTGTTCAGTTAGGATGTACACTGTATGAATATCTCTTTGATAATACATGGCTACTGTCAATGTACAAGGAGAGGTCAATAAGTAAGTGTCTTTATATTTTTCAATATAATTTCCACTAACATTGATGCACTTGTACCATCATTTTATCAGTCCTCTCAAACCTGCTGTATAGAACTGCATGCTCTATTTTCTAAACCACATTTTTACTTCACATTCAACTTCTGCATCATTCATAAAATGTCTCCAGCCAAGGTGGGTTTTCAGTGTACCAAAAAGGTGAAAATTGCTAGGGGCTAAGTCATGGATGTAAGGTGGACGTTCCCACCCTCGATGGTTAATTTCCTCCTGAGTTAACCAAGCTGTATGTGGTCTGCATTGTTATGAAGGAGCAGTACTCCTCTAGTCAGCAGGCCTCGCCATTTTCTTTGCCACCATCATGAAGCATTAATTAAACTTTACAGTATGAATCAGCATACACATTGTCACCTCTAATTTTTTTTTTATTGGTTAAAAGCACTCCTCGACAATCCCAGAACACTGTCAGCATAACCTTCCCTGCTGATGGCATAACCATGAATTTTTTAACACAAGGCGAAGAAGGATGTTTCCACTGCAGCGAAGCACGCTTTGTTTCTGGCTGGTAGTGGTGCACCCATGATTCATCTTCAGTAATAATCCTGTTCAGCATGTCTTCTCCTTCATCTGTGTATCGATAGAGATAATGCCAGGACAGGTCTGTTCGGTTCATTTTGTCAGTTGTCTGGGTTCCCACCTTGAGAAAACTTTCTTAAATTTCAATCGATCATGCATTTAATGTGGTATGCTGATCCATGCGAGCACCCTATGGCAGCTGCTCACAGTGTCAAGCATTACTCACCTGTCACCCCTAATCATATCTTTCACCTGCTGCACGTATGCGTCTGTTGCGATCTCAACAGGATTGAACTTCATAAACAATTTTAGAGCACCCTTGAGAAAAATGTTTACTCATCTATGCACCGCTTTAAGAGATAAACATGGGTTAAGTTAAGCCAAGAATTGACATCACAGCACTCAGGGCATTCCCATGCATGCTCCATCCTAATCTTCAGCAGCCAGTGCAGAGTTCCAATACTGATGGTACCGGTCAAAATCTGGTTATATGTCCGTCTTGCTTTTCCTCTAATTGTAGTGAGCCGGCCAGACCCTTTGGTTACACCAAGGTGCCTCATTCTCTTAAGGCCATAATAATCTTCTTTCTCTGCTGATTCCGTTGCTTGTTCCCAAAGGACCTTGACCACATTTGATTTGTCATGTATCAATTCACCACCCAGTGGTGCAGATGCATCCAATCTGTCTGCCAGTTCATTACCCACCACGCCGGCATGGCCTGGAGAAAAGATCCAAAGTATGCTCATTACCCGTGACTTTTCCAGTAAAGCTTGCCACTCTGCTCAAAGCATCCCTGTCATCTTACTCAGCGTGCTTTCAGAGTCTGTTACAATTACGATATGTGTATTCATCTTGTTCTCTAGCCACTGGAGAGCTGCAGTTACGGCCTTCACCTCCATTCTCTAGATGTTGTGGCTTTCGCTACGAACCCACTGGCACTTCTCTTTCCTCTCAGCACTGAACCATCTGTGTAGATAATCAGATCACCTGGGTGTGAATTGTTGTAAATCAACTGTTGGACTTCCACTTCTGTAGCACCCGCTGGCCACACATTGCACACCCGGCCCAATGTGATCATAACCCTACACAGGACAGACTTTTCCGATGGTACTCTGACCCACTCCTCTCCTCGCCCAATGTTCTCCAGCATGCATACTTGTCTTATTGACCCTCTGACCCTTACATGCAGACAAAGCTTCATACAGAGGGTGTTCCCTGTCTGCAGCTACTCTGAGGTATGACTTAGCCTGCAGCACCTTATCTGCAATAGTTGGCAATGCAAGGATGTATCAGATGCACACAATCAGGGTGTCTCTTGTACATCTCAGGATGTAGGATTAACATTCGTCAGCATAAACAGGAATCATTTCCTTATGAATGTCCTTTGCAGGCAGCCCTTTAGCCCCACCCCCTCCACCTAATGCACAATAGCACGTTGTTCTTTGAGGGTACACCCTGTAAGTATAGTCGCCATTTTGTTTTTGTTTTGCGAATGCACCACCTAAATGAACGGAGACATAAAGTTCGATGTTGCTGTCACCAATGACACCTTCAGAAACCACCAGCTATATTTTCCTGCCATCCCATAACCATTTGTGACTTACTTATTGCCTTCCCCACTATATAGTTAATGATTTAGTCCACAATTTTCATCTTATTTAGTATTTAGGTGAGTGAGAAGGGATTAATTCAGTTGTGGTTCATTGTTTGTGTGATTTTTGGCAGACTGAATTTTTTAATCTTAAGTTTGATATGGTAGCAATTTTGTTGTTCAAGTCATAAAAATGACCTGCTCCTGTTAGTGCTAAGTCATTGCAGAGACATGAACCCCATACCTTCAGGCCAGCAGGCAAGCAACCAGTACGTTGTTGTTCTCCATAAGTCATGTCCCCATTAGGTGAGTTCCACGATAATCTCCCCGAACAAACTAGGTCACGTTCCATTAATCAGGGTTCATAGCCAAATTTACCAATCAATTTCAAGGCTTTTCAAGGTCTTTTTTAAGGTCTCCTTAGTTTTTTTCAAGGTTGTCTCGGTGTAATACTGAAACAAGATTTTTGCCTTGTTCAAGGGTGTACTGAGCACACAAGGTACTTCATTTGTGCCACATGTGTTGGTATACCAGCACAGATATCATCATCATGTAGCATTTCCTTTGTCCTGACAAAAAAACCTCGGTCTCTCACCAGCTCTCCCGCCTCATGTACTTTTTTATACTCAAGGGGTCACTTATATCCTGTGCCCATCTTCGTGCTGGTCGGCCCCTGAGCTTGATATAGTGTTTGAAATTTTTTTTAGGGCTTGGTGGTAGAGGGCAGCAAACTGAAGTCCTGTCTGTTCTGGACCTAGTACCTGAGAGGGTTAGGGGAGAGAGAGAGAGAGTCATGAAGAGAGAGGAAACATGCTGAGGTAGGCTGGGAGAGACAGTGTAAAGATGGACAGATGAAGGTAGAGAAAAGAAGGAAAAGAAGTCTGGGGAAGGAGGAAAAAATGAGAGGGAGGGATGGAGACATGATGAGGAAAAGTGGGGAAGGAACAGCGAAAGACAGAGAGGGAAAAAAATACAGAAAGAGGGAATGCAGATACAGAGATGGGCAGATGAAAAGAGAAGGAAACAGGGAACGAAATAGAGATATGGAAGGAGGAAAATATGACAAAGAGTTGAAAGAAGGGAGACAGAGGGGAGAGAGAACGGACAGGGTGAGAAGCAGATGCAAGCAGAGAGAGATGTAGACATAAAGGAGAGAGAGAGACAAAGGGACAGCACAGAGAGGCAAGCAGACAGAGGGAGAGAACCAAAGAAAGAGAAAAAAGGCAGAGCAGGAGAATGGGAGGGAGGTATACAAAGAGGAAGTGATGAAGGGAGGCAAACAGACATAAAGCAAGAGAAGAGAGAGAGAGAAGAGAGAGAGAGAGAGAGGTGGGTAAGGAAGGCAGTGACAAACACAGATTAAGAGAGAGGGGCAGGAAGGGAGACAAGATACATCAAAGAAAAAAAAACAGCCACCTCCCCCCCCCCCCCCCCCCCCCACACACACAATTTCAAGTGTAGTGGACACAACCACTAGGAAAAGATAGTTATGGGGCAAAAAAATACGTAGATGAACCAGTAAAAAAAAAATGGGGGGGGGGGGGGGGGAGAGAGAATGAGAGAGGGGAGCGGGTAAGGAAATCTAGAGAAAATGAAAAGACAGGATGGAGAGGAGACAAAGAAGAGATGGGACAGGAGAAAGGGCAAGGAAAGGAAGAGAGGAAGAATGGAGAGAGAAAGGAGAATAGTAGAAGATCAAAGGAAAGAGAAGGGGTGAGAGAAGAAAGGTAAGACACGGTTGTGGGGGGGGGGGGGGGGGGGGGTGTAAGAACAATGAGTGCCAAAAATAGAATTAGGAAATCTCTAAGTGAGGCCACTTTTCCGGTTCCTACCCTCTCCCAATGTGAATGTGGCCGTGGTCCAAAAACAACAGTGCTAACCCCTACTGCCCCTTGCTTGTCCTATCTGTGTGTGACAACAATAATTCAATTTCTTACACTTAAGGCTGGTGACCTGAGAGCCAAGGTCATTTTATGAAGAAAAAAAAAAGTCCAGGGGATCCCAACCCACCACTGGTGGAAAATAGAGAAGTTTACCCACACACATAAATAGGTCAGACACATAAATAGGTCAGGGCAGCAGCAGGACTTCGTTTTATTTCTGGTTTTCCAATTACAGAAAGGAGGGGAGAGAGGAGGTGGTGGAAAGTGGTGTAGAAGGCTGAGGTGGTAAGGGTGAGACAGAGGAGGTGAGAGAATAAAGTTTAAGAAAATAAAGTGGGAATGAGACAGGGAGAGAAAGAAGGGAGTAAGAAATAAGATGAGATATAGAGGGAAGAAGGTAGCAGGAAGGGGTGCACTCCCTCCCCTAGGTGTCATCAATGTGGGAGGAGAAAAAAAGGGGGGGGGGGGGGGGGGGGGGTGACGGCAAATGTGTTTTTAAAAGTACACATATATTTAATGTGTGGGAGGGGGGGAATGGTGGACATGAAATGTTCTGCACTAGGCAACACATAACCTTCTACACCAACTGAAGGTATGAGAAAGAGAGAGAGAGAGAGAGAGAGAGAGAGAGAGAGAGAGAGAGAGAGGGAGGGAGAGAGTGAGGGAGAGTGGCAAATACAAAGAGAAGAGAGAGAAAGCAGTGACACAGACAGGCAGAGAGTGAGGAACAGGTAGGACAAAATGTGAGGGGGCGGGAAGGGAGATGGACAGAGATTAAGGCCGCTAGGAAAACAAACACATCAAAAGAAAATATCCACCATGTTCACACAGAATGCCCCCCCCCCCCCCCCCAATACAACTTCCTGTGTACTTGAGTTGCTAGGAAGAGTTATGGAGCCGCACATTTACTAAACATTTAAACAAGAAATAAAATAGGAAAAAGGGGGAGGGGGGACAGGAAATGAGAGAGTAAAAGGAAAGATAGAGAGAAAGAGAAGAAGATGAAGATCAGAAGGGAGGGTTAGAGACAATGCAGGAGACGGGAAGGAAGGAGCAATAGGTAGAAGAGTGAAAGAGGGAGGGAAGAGAGAGAGAGAGGGATGAGACAATAGAAGAGGGAATCTCAGGGAATTACAATACTGATCGCCAAACACACTGTAAAGATAAATCCAGGCCAAAAATAGAACTGGGAAATCCAGCTGCAGTCACTTTGCTTAGCCCCAATGCCATCTCTAATTAATAGAGAAGGCCGTGCTTAGCCCCACCACGGCGACTCTATTTATAAATACAACTGAACCGAGCCCCACCATCTCCCAATGTAATCCTTTCTAGAAACCACGGCCATAAACGATTTATACTGTTCATTCTGCCCGACTTGCTAGAAACAAAGGCACACACACACACACACACGCGCGAGACGGAAGCTGCTCCTTCCCGCCCCATGCCACACTGCTGCTGTCTGCATGTATTCATGATCTGCAACAAAGCCCGCCCTCCCCTGGCCTTTAACAAGCCATTTCGGCTGAAAATAGCCAATAATCAGCTGCCCTCACACCTGAAACGACCATACAACGAAAGTAGCCAAAAACTAGCCAAATGGCCCAAAAAAGCCAAATGCTCCCCCAAGATTTCTGACAAAAAAAAGCCAAATGGCTCCCCCAAACGATTGATTAATACCTGTGCTGAGGGAAGAAGGGGTTATACATGTTGTTTCCTTTCTGGCTTTGTCTTGCATTTACGTTTTTCTGATGCGATAGGTTCATTGCCGCGTATACAATATGCGAAAATTCACGAACACCCTCCTGTGTGCAAAGGTCGGGTGACTGAAGGTCGACCAATCAGAAGTGAGTTAGTGTTTATATGGGCAGTTGATGGGGAGATTATCGTGGAACTGACCTTCCATTATGTTCTTTTGTTGTGAATGCACGTGACATCTAGCACCACCTTATGAACAGAGACTAAAGTTCAATGTTGCGGTCACCTAATGCCATCCCATAACCATTTGACTTCTCCTCATAGTTGCATCAACTGTCAAACCAGAAGAGAATGGTCCTCATGTGGGTTCTGAGATCCCATTTTGGAGAACAAAGAATAGTCCCACTGTCCCCCCCCACCCAACAAGCATGTTATAGGGGGGATAGCAGCAATGAGATTATGACAGCTCAACTAAGTATTTTACAAAGTCAAATACATATATGCAGTTTAAACATATATCTTACCAGTTCCACAGTTACCTCAACTGTTTCAATGCCCAAATCCTGTAGATCTGCATCAATAGCAGAGTCACGACTGTTGTTATGTCCTAAATTATGCAGCTGCTGACGTCTTGAATCTTTTTCAAGCAGAGCCTCATAACGGTTCCTTCAAAAAAATAAACACTTTTCACATAATATACCAAAACAAACAGTTGTGTATATGTATGTATGCAAGTATAAATGTTTGTATTCCTAAGTGTATGTTTAGTGGTCTGTGGATGCCTTTACGTAGACCTGTGCACATGTATATGTGGATAAATTTGGATATTAATGTTTATGTGTATATATGCATGCATGCGCAATGTATGTGTATGTGAATGTGTGTGTGAATGAAAGTATATATCTAATGCATAAGGCAGGTATGTATATATGAATCTATGGATTTGTCATCTATGCTTTTGTCATCTATGCTTTTGTGTTTGTTTTTAATATTACATCTACTGCTAAATTAACGTGCTTTAGACATAAAATCCAATTACTGTGTGAAAGATTAGTGGTTGAAAGAGCCGAATGTAAGAATGGACTGCTAGTCCAATTAGTGACATCATCCCCTCCCTCCCTTTTTTTAACAAATTAATCCAGAAACCATGAGGTGTAAACCCTTTTGGGTATCCAGATGGTATCCCAGCAGAAGCTATTAAGGCCAATATAATCACATCAACGGAATTGCTACACAGATAAGTAAAGTCAGGGAGACAGAAGAAATACCAGTAGACTAGAGAGAAGGATATCTTGTGAAAATAGACTATGAAAAAGTTTTTAACAGCACTGATAGGGAATCTCTCTGGAAATTAATGAAATCACACAGAAAATTACTAACTTGGTAAAGGCAAAATATAAAGACATGAAATATTGAGTTCTTGATGATGGAAAGCTAACAGATATATCTGAAATAAGAAACAGGTGTGCGACAAGAGTGTCTTGTCGCCTCTCCAGTTTTAACTGGCAATAGATGGGATTATGAACATAGTAACTGCTAACACCAATAATGGAATTCAGTGGACCATCACACAACAGCTTGATGGTCTGGACTTCACTGATATTTCTCTTCTGTCCCACTCATGAAATCAGATGCAAGACAAATTAAATATACTTGATGCGAGATCACAACAGCTAGGGCTGAAAATCCATAATTAAAAGACAAGAGATAATAAGAATAAATCAGGCAAATAGTAATGTTGTTTCTCTTAAGGGCATACCACTCCAGATCACATCTGACTTAGTTACAGTTCCCATACTGTAATACTATATTAAAGGACCAACCTCAATGCGTCCAGTGTAGTATAGCTTCTTGAGAACTTTCTCATCGGCTTCCAGCAAGATTTTTAATGATTGCAATTCTCTGCCTTGCTCTTGTTCGACTTGCCTATAACTGTGTCTTCCATGTCAGGTGTTAATCAAATGTGACACCTAAGTATACTGGATTGTCCTCTTGACACAGTATTTATCTATTTAGCTCTAGCATAGCTGGCTATTTTTTTTTTAATTTGAAAGGAAGAACACTGTGCATGTTGTTTTCTCTTCACTGATATTCACTTGCCATATTTCTGACCATTAGTCTCTAACACTGATAAGGCTTGCTGCATCCTACTGTTAGCTGTACTAATACTTTCTTCACTAGTCCACATAGCTAAGGCATTTGCAAAGGTCAAAGTGTGAACTCTGGCAGGAAAATTATCCGAAATATCATTTATTTATGCTAAAAACAATGTTGACAATACACTCCCATGGGGTACATCTTGCTCTAACATCATTCTTTTGCTAGTTTGTCCTTGTACTTTTGTTCTGGCAGTTCTGTTCTCAAGGCAGTGACTGATCCATTTGTACATTTTCCCATAAACATCCTTCCATACTGTTATCAAATGTTTTTTTTTTTCTCTGAAGTCTACCCAGACTGCTAGTGTATATTTTTTCCCTCTTGGAAGGCATCCTCTATTTCCTGGGCTATGTATGTTATTTGGTCTTCAGTGGATCTGTACTTTCTAAATCTTGCCTGTTGTGAAGTTTGAATGTGTTTTTCTTTGAGATGCCCCATTAACTGGTAGCTTCCTTCCATGCCTGAGGGACTATTTCTCTCTTCCGGTCGCAACTGAGAAGTCCAAGTAATTGCCTTAGTACCTAGCCCTATTATATTTTGCTTGTGATCTCATCCTTCTCTGGTGATTTCTTCTTTTTCTGAGAGCTTATTGCCCTTTCCAGATCTTCCATATTTATATTGTCCATCATAAGTTCTGATTTGTGTGTGTTACTGTGACATACCTGTTTCTCTTTCATTGCCTTTTTTGTGTGTTCTGCTGCGACATCAATGTGGTTGGCAATAGCATAGTATTCCATCTGTGCATTCGCAACTGTTTTTCCTGTTAGTATGTTGTTACCCTGTTTAATAGTTTTGTTTCCGTTACTGGGCCCTTCATTGTTAATAGCTTTTACTAATTTCCCCTCCCCCCTAAAGAATTTGTTGTTCTTTGGTCCATTATGGTTTGTAATTTGTCCCTGCAAGTCTTGGAATGCTGCCTATAGCATTCCTTTGTTTAGACTTTCCATTATTGTCTTCATGTTGCCATATCCTGTGTTATGTTTTTACAGCACTTGTATGTGAGCAAAGCAAATCTCTTCCAATCAGCTTATTTGTAATTCCATCAAGGTGTTCTTTTTAAAAAAAAAATTGTGTCTGTCTCCTGCTCTCCCATTTCTATGCCTCTGGAGATGTTTCTCCTCAGGCACATCATTCATGGGAAACATTCTTCTACAGCTTTTTAATTTTCTCTGGTCCTGTTCTGCGTTTCAATCACAGGTTTTGAAGAGGGATCACATGCGAGCCTTTAAGTGCTATACAAATGCTGGTATTTACGGCCTTGGATATTCCATCTAGCCATCGCCTGTGTGGTCGACCTCTAGACTGCGCCCATTATGTCTAAGTGACAGTGCACTATCTGGTTGGTAGTCTGACACAATTCTTTCACTGCAGAAAGTAAAGGGTTACAGTTGTAGTGCCTGCTTACTAGAGAATAGACAGCAGACATGCTGAAGGAGTCCAAACATCTCTCAAGGTAAAGAACAGCAGAGATATCAAGCATTCTGCTAGTGGTGACTTTATTTACACAATTACTTAGTGTTAGCCTAATAGACAGAGAAGGGGGAAAAAACCACCACTAGGAAAGGCATGCAACACTGATATCTCCATTTGACCATGCAATACAACATTAAGAAAATCCTATTTAAGCATTGTATTTTCCTGCTACCTTTATAAACGTGCCCAGTAGCTGTGATTTTAATTCCTAGAATCAACCAAAATCTGGACTGATTCAGATTACTAGCAGCTCAATCTTCCAAAAGACTTTATCCTGAGACCATACCAGGTGAAGCTGTATCAACGTCAATTCAATCCTGGACTGGATTTAGACTTGTTTCCTATTCTGACAGCTTATTTTTATAAATTGAACTCTAGCGTACAAATCTTATATCCAGTTTTATTTGATTTCATTACCATATTGTCACCAGTTATTGCCGTTGCTATTTTGGCTTTTGCCAATACAACTTTTAAAATCTCCTACGTTATATCATTCTCTCTTCAATGAACTATTCTTGTAGGTGAGGTTATCTTTCAGTGATTGATAAGGGAGCAAACTGCTTCTAATATCTGGAGACTTTATTTTCTTCAAGTGTCAAAAGAGTTTGTGACAAGATGTTGGTGGCCATTGTTCGCCTCAAAGACAGCTGTTTACAGGATTAATACCTCAAGGATGATAATCAAAAAGGAGCAAATCATTAAAACCTTTTTCAACTACATGACACAGTTAAACTAGGCCACTTACAAGAGTAACTTGCCGTTCCATTGGGGGAGGGGGGAGGGATGGGATATTGTTGGGCCCAATTTGTGACAGGACCATATACATTTTTTTTATAGTCAGAGGCAAGATTCACTCTAAGCACCATATATTATCTTGTAAAATATTTTAATATCCATTGATCACTTACTGACCTCTCACCAAAGCTAAAATATGTTAAACAATTATAAAACCATTATAAATCTACAACATATATTAAAATTTTTTTTTGGGGCAATAATCTAGATGAAATGCCTACTAACTTTACTGCTTTCAACTCTTTCACAGCCTCATTTTTTTGTCTCTTAAAATCATCAGAATCCCTCAGGGCTTGAGCAAGATCACTAACTGCCCTGTCTCTATCTCGTCTCAGATTATCACAAAGTGTCCTAATGCTCTCTCTTTCCTGAACAATCTTGTCACGTTCACTGAAGGCCTTGTCTCTGTTTTTATATGCATTTTCAGCATCTTGTTCAGCATCTGTGGGAAAGCAAAATAATAAACTGCTAATACAAACTTTCAGCTACAGAGCTCAATATGAGACACTTAAATCTTAGCACATATGAGTTAGTTGCATATCCTTTTCAGAATACTACAAACCAATGCCATCATTTATTGGCTATTGATAGCAGTTATTTGGTCAGAGGCATAAGGAAAAGTTAAGGCCCTAGTGTATTAGGAGATATTCCTCAGGCCCCAGGAGGTTGTGCTGGTTTTACGGATCTTCATGCCAGATTCCTGCAACAGGTCCTCATTGTCCACTTTAGATAAAGGCTGTTATCGGCCTAAACCGAGCTGACAGGGGATCTAGAGTTGGTGGCCCCCAGAAACAGTGTCCAGAAATCATCTGGCTCTCATTAACCCACCCTTAACTTTTTCAGGTCCATTAATTTTGACAGACTTGGCCCACATTAGTTTCTCTTTACAAAAATGACAGAGGAGGTGGGGTACAAGAAAGGCAATAGAGAATGTAATATACTTCTAATCCCTATAAAAGTATATATTTTTTTAAAGAGAAATGAATTTAAATTTTAAATCTGATGACAAGTGTATGCTTAATTTTTATTTTTTATTTTTAGAAGGAAAGAAGAATTCAGCAGGTGCTAATTTCACAACAACAACATTTTACAAACTAATTCTTTACTTTCCAAGGTTTTGCAGCCACAAGAGTAGTGGATATCCAAATTTGAGAACAAAACTTTAAAGTTTGTTCAATTTCCTAACAAATTCCAAAGTTATGATAAGTTTCTGGGTTAGTTTAGCACTCAGGGTCTCTTAGTTCTCACAGAGTGCTGAGCAAAATTTCAGAGAAAAAATGGCGGGAAAATGGGCCATTACACACACACTATTTACTTTGTACAGTTATATACAGACTGTAGCTGCAATGATTTCAATAAAGCTTAGACATAGTATAGTGCTGCCTCTGTTTGGAGCACTTTCCTTCTCTTACACCATAAATACGGTAGCAATGGGACATTGTCTGTGTAAACTCATCAGAATCGCTAGATTCGCAACAGCTGATCGCTCAGCTTCGCTGGTGAAAATTCACTATCCGATTCACTTTCTGAAAAATCTAAATTTTCATTATCATTCTTAGAATTAAAAACAACTGACTGAAACAATTTCAGAGCGTCGGCCGCTGAAAGACGCATTCTGCGACCTGTACTTGTGGTTGAAACATTGGTATTCCTAGCACTCGAAAACCAACTTGGGAAAATGCACTGTTAAAAAAAATGTAGCTATGTAAACTCATCAGAATCGCTAGATTCGCAACAGCTGATCGCTCAGCTTCGCTGGTGAAAATTCACTATCCGATTCACTTTCTGAAAAATCTAAATTTTCATTATCATTCTTAGAATTAAAAACAACTGACTGAAACAATTTCAGAGCGTCGGCCGCTGAAAGACGCATTCTGCGACCTGTACTTGTGGTTGAAACATTGGTATTCCTAGCACTCGAAAACCAAATTGGGAAAATGCACTGTTAAAAAAAATGTAGCTATGAATCTGATCAACCTATGTGGCGTGGCTTATGTTATGGATGTTGCTAAAAGGAAATCGTTTTAGAGTGACTTTCCCTGAATACTTTAATCGTAGTTCCAAACATTAGAAACAAGTACGAAGCCGTGTGAAAAGCAATTTGTAGGGGACACACGATCGATGATGAAAGCGTTGTTTGGGCAAAACGGAACTTTTTAATCAACACTCATACCATTGCTTGGGCCTTAAAGAGTCAATGGATGAGTGATGACATCCATTTAAAACAAAAATCAATTAGAACATAAATGAAGCCCGCTGGCCGAATATCCTACTATAATAAACCTTGGTTAAAATATCTGTTGACCGAAAGTCTTACCAAACTACTTATGAGGCAAAAGATTTAGATGTCCGAGCATCGAATGTCCTAGTGTGTGACAGACACGGTTCAAATGCCCTCTAGTATTGGTCCCACACGTCTGAGTGCCAGGATCAAAAGTCTGACCATCAAATGTCATATGGCAGACAAGGTTCAGACAAGGCCTGTAAACTGTCCTACTGTTTGAGAGAATGATTCAAATGTCTGATACCAGAGGTCCCACTCGTCGGCATGATGAAATCATAAGCTATTAGCTATAACTGTCATGCTAAGTGTCTTGATGCAACTATGTTAAAGGTGTCTAATGTGCTATGGAAGATTTTAAGGGTAAAAACTAAGGAAGAGGATATATTTACCCAACAAAATCTATATGAGTGATGGTTTCAAGAAATATATACATTTAAATGAACTGCATTTTTAAATCCTTCCTTCTCCTTAGCATCCACTGGCTGTTAACTCTGGTAGAAAGTTCTGGCTTTCGATTTGTTCTGGACTCTGGTTTTGTTCCAAAACTTGAGTTCTGTGTGCATAACTGTTTTATGGATATGGCTTATTTACATGCAGACTGTTGGTTCCTTGCCTCTATGGCAGATGCAATCTGACTTGGAAACGTCCCTAATTAGTTGCTTACTATGACATGCTTGTTAGGGGGCAGTGGATCTATCCCCACCCCTCCCCCATGGGGCTCCAAAATCCAAAATGGAAGTATTACTGAATGAATCACAAATATAAAATATGGTTCTCATAATAACGGGATTGTGCACTTAAAATAAGTTAGAAAACTTACTATCTAAATCCTGTTTTAATTTCTCAAGATGTTGTTTCAGGTTTTCTGTTTCTTTGGTGACATTGTTAATTTCTACAGTTTTGTCGTTTTGTGCTTTCTCATATTTTTCTTTTACAATCTGCTCTATGTGCTCATAAGCTTCACTTCTTTCCTTCCAACACATATCTCTCTGTTGTTTCAGACTCTGGGGAAAAAAAATGTAAGGCAAATTATAAATGGCCAATGGTAATTAATCTTAGCAATGTTTCATGAATAAATTCATTTAAAAGCACATTATTTGATAAAGTAATAACGAATATACAAAGCACAAAGGAATAGTCCTCAATGCTCAACTCTAACTTTTCTAAACACAACCAGGAGCCACACCTAGAAGTGGCATCATATTATATATATATATATATATACACATATATATATATATATATATATATATATATATATATATATATATATATATATATATATATATATATATATATATATATATATATATATATATATATATATATATATATAAATATTTATTTTTTTAAATTAGAGATCTGAGTAGAGAATTACCTCAAGGATGGATGTAAATGGAGATAGTGGCAGTCACTGCTCCCTAAAGATATATCATTCTGATTCTATAAATAAGTATTAGTTTCAATTTCTGGTTGAGGTTAGCCTAGAAGAGACAACCTGCCCAAAAGTGTGCTTCACAAGTGGTGGTGGAGCTTAGCTCAAAACAACAAATAAGTGGACATATCAGTCCATTGTCAATACAAAATTCATTCTCCATGATAGTTTAATAAATCAATATATCAAAAAGAATTAAAGTTAACAGGCCAGTTGACCTATTAGGTAGCAATTCTGATTGCTAAGAAAACACAAAGAAAGAAATATTATATGAAATGTCAAGGCAACAGCAGTTTTTAAAAGTCTGACCAAAATATGCAACTTAAAATTTTATCATTTTAAAATCAAAGTAGGTGTTTTCAATTCAATGTTATTAAAATTTTAACATGTGGCATAAAAGGTTAAATGTGGTCAAAAATAAATGTCTGAGAACATTATTGAACATTAAATGGGAGAATTCAAGAAAGGCACAGAAACTGGACAGCAGCTGGTATCAACATTTTGAGACAAAGATAAAAATAGAGTGAAATATCACAAGGAGAAATAGAATCACAAAATAGTCATTAAAATACTACCCAAGAGAAACCTTAAACTGAAGAGACAGGTGAAAGGTGCTGGACTGGATCCCATACATGATATCTATCAATAAGTCTGCATAGCATGGAATCTTCTTCTTATTTGTTCACCGGCTGTAAGCTCCAATGGAAAATCCTGGTTTTGTCCATTTAGACTTTGGCTTTGTGCCAGGGCCTGAATTTTGTATGTACATCCGTTTTACTGGATTATTTTTGTGCAGTTGGTTGTTCCTTGCAGCTTGGGCAGATGCAATCCGACTTTGAAGGAAGCTTTGGAACCCTGGAACCTACACGGGGAAGATGGAATGAAGTGGGGGAATACATGATGCAGGAAAATATGTGTGTACTCATGTGTGCAATATGACAATTACACTATATATGACAAATTAGTATTGTTACTCACTGTCTTTCAAGTAGTCACCGTGCGTAGTGGCTAGATGCTCGCGTGGTGATCGGAAGGTTGTTGGTTCGCTTCCTGGCGGAGCCGGACTTTTTCAAAAACGAGCTTGCTCCAAGGTCAACCCAGCTTTGAGTGGGTACCGGGTGCAGTCCCGGAAAGTAAAGGTGGAGGGCGTGATGCTGACCACATCAGCCATCTTGTGCCGATTGGTCTATAAAAATATAGGCCTAGCCCTATATGCCCTATACACCTAAAGGCGTGGAAAAGGGGCTTTACTTTTTTTTTACTTACTGTCTTTAAAAAAAAAAAAAAAAAAAAACTTTGTATACTTTAAGCTTTTATTACTTATCTTGCATACAATAAAACTAATACACTAAAAAGATACAATATAATTTATCATATGGGATATTAGAAATAACAATTTCCAGTGACATGTTTTATCAAACTTATATTGTATGTATACTTTACCATATAATTTAATCTTAATAAAATATAATGAAAAGTTGTGATGGTCAACTTTTGACACCACTCCACTGACTCTATAGTTGTATATATATATATGTGTGTGTGTGAGTGTGCGCGCGTGTGGCTTGAACCTTAGCAACTTATTAGAAAATAGTGTAACAAATTGAATGCAAATGGCATAGACAAACCACTTCAAAATTAATTAAAGCTTATAAAATAAACATATCCATGATTATATTTACCTGATTAATTCCACTGAAATCATTTCTCTCTCTCCAGTACTTTTCATTTTCTGCGAGTGTACTAGCTAAATTTTGCCTCATGACAGCAAGCTCTGCTTCAAGTTCCTTCTTTTCATTAGATACTATGTCAAGGTGTTTGCTCACAGATGACAATCTATCCTGAAGCTGTTCAATTTCCTGTGGCAATGTTATATACATTTGCATTAGAAAGATACAGCAGTTCAAAAGGTAAGCTTTATCTGTCAATTAAAATTGTTATTATGCAACTAAGTATATTTCAAGAAACAAATATCCAATACAATCAATGATTACTGACTACTGATTTAAAAATCGACATCATAGCACACTGGGCATACCCACAGATGCTCTGTCTCCCGCAGTAAATGACATAAGGTGTAGATGCTAACTGTTTCTGTAGCACACTGATTATACACACTCTGATCTCTTTCTCTCATTCGTCCCTCCTTGCCGGATCCACATTAAATCCCTTGTTCACACATTCTTGCACGTTATTTTATCTAATCTTGCGTCTTCTACTGAAAGTCGTTCACATATGGTCTTCAGAATATCTCCCTTGTCCACTACGAATGTTCCTCCGTAGCTTTCGCTTTTGTAGCCAGAATACCCGCTCTTTAATTCCCTCGCACTCCTGCATACCCGACAGTATATCCACATGATTCCCTGCAATGTTGGCGTACTGATGCATGGTATCCACTCATCCACATTATTCCATTTTGAACCATATAATTCCTCTGGTAACTGTTTTCTGCTACCACTTCCATTCTCATGTCTGAAGTTGTAGATAAAAAAAAAAAAAGCTCCACTTTGTTCTGCCACAATGTTTCCCTTCATCCCTGCTGAATATGCCCAGTCAGATCTTATACTCCGATGAAAAGAATCATCGGTGTACAATACTGCATCATCTAGCCCAGCCTTTCCATCTATCAGTTGTTGTACCTCTAATTCTGCCATACCGTGACACCACTCTCTACATTCTCTTTCTAGCGTGATAATGACCTCATGGAAACTACTGTTGTAGGTGTTCGTGTTGATCCATTCCTGCCCTGAGTGTATTTGTTTGACTGAGGCTGCCATCTCGATGGTATCTTCAGCTAGTACCATCCATGACTTTCCTTTTCAACCGGTTTTCTCTTAAATAATTGAATTTACCATGCAGCAGATGCCTTTCATCATTGATAACTCGAATATATAGGCTATGGCTTGTGCCAGTGACAGTCTAGACTTTACAGATGTAAGCCCAAGCATAAACATTCTTCTAATTGGAGTGTCCCGTGTGCAACCCAAGACGATTCTCATTCCTTCATTTTTAATCCTTTCAAGCTTTGTACACTGTGAAATAGATAGGGTTAATATTCATAGGCCATAATCGATTACAGAAAAGACCAAATGGTTGAACAATAAGACTAATATAAACTCTTTTATATGTGTGTCGCCACCATCATCTTCAGTGACGCCAGGCCATGCCTGCATTACACGTGATCCAATACAGTCAGTATATGTCTAATAAAATCCACCTATTGAATGTCATCGCCCATGTGTTACTAGAGTTCTTATAGGAGGCAAAGAATCATAACACTGCACCCCACCAATGTTGTAAGAGGTGACCAAGGGTAGGGCTTGACATTGGCTACCTCATTCTGTTAAAAAAGAAATAGCTAGAAAATACAAAAAACAAAAACCAACCACCAAAACATCAAAAATAGAAACAAGTAATACCGAGATCTACAAATAATAAAGAATATGTATTGGCAGCAAACAGCAGCTATAAGAATAAACAACTATTTAGGTACATTTCAAAGCATAAAGAGGGGAGTACGACAAGGATGTGTACTGTCACCTGATTTGTTTTCAATATACAGTGAATATAATATAATGAGATCTTTAATTGATATGCCCAGAATTGTGGTTGGTGGGCACAGTATAAACAATTTACGTTATGCTGATAACACAGTCTTGATAGCAACAAGTCAGAAAGAATTACAGGAAATGATAGACATTGTGGTGTTAGAAAGTGGAAGAATGGGCGTCAGTTTGAATAATGGGAAGACAGAAGTAATGGTGGTATCAAAGAAACAAATTATTCCTAAATGTGTAATAAAAGTCAATGGTGTTATTTTAGGACAAGTGCAGAAATTTAAGTATCTGGGCACATGGATAACATCAGACGGAAGATGCATTACTGAGATAAGAAACGGAATTGTACAGGCAAAAACTGCATTTTATAAAATGAAAAACATCTTGTGCAATATATCCTTGTCATTGAGAGTTAGAAAAAGAATTCTTGCTTGCAACATACATCCAGTTTTAACATATGGCTGTGAATCCTGAACAATCGGTAGGCAGGCCCAACAATTTTTAGAGGTCTCAGAGATGGGGTTTTACAGAAGAATGCTTAGAATACCTTGGACAGCCAAAAAGAGCAACCAAGAGGTTTTGAAAGAAGCGGGAGCCCGAAGACAATTTATCACAGACATCAGAAGGAGACTGTCATCATTTTTCGGCCATGTTATGAGAAGAGGGAAAATAGGACATGTTGTGATCACTGGGGAAAGATCTGTGGAAGGAAGGATAAAGGAAGACAACGAGAGAAGATGCTTGACAGTCTTGTTGCATGGCATGGAGGTGTGTCGGCACACGAACTGATACTGGCAGGCGATCGCAGATTATGGAGAGGTATGATCGCCCACGCCAGTCGGCAAGGCACCTGAGGATGATGATGATGAATACCAAGCCAACGAAGATAGGGAGAGGATCATCTAATAGAAGAATAATGATACAATGTGGAGAAAGCCGAAAGGAGTCTGGACTGTCGATGCACCTCCTTTTCCCTAGGAAAATCTCAGGAATTGGCACCTGAAATGTTAGAACCTTGTAGGATGTACGAAGGGCAGTAAAGGTAGTAAGAAAAATGAAACATCATAGGATTAGTATTTTAGTATTGCATGAAACTACTTGGACTAGAGGAGGGCAAAATTATCTTAAAATGAGGTAAAACTATTTTGTTCTCAGCCAGTGTGGAAAGGCCTTGATGCTATTAAAAAAGGTAGAGAAGGCACTAACAGAATGGGAAACAGCGAGTCTTGGAATAACAAGCTTGTCATTAAGAACAACTAAACAGAAAGATTATGGGAACACATGGACAGAGGTATCGAACAAAGATGGAGAATTATTTATCAATTTTTGCACAGGGAACCAATAAGTTATTAGCAAAAGCCTTTTCCCAAATAAAAAAATTATTTAAAAAATCCCAACCGGCAGTCTGTGGTGGATGCATTAGCCAATGCGGCTCTAAATCCTCTGGCTCAAAGATCCCCACCTACACAGCAAAATTAGTAAATAAATGCAGGCAGTAATGACACTCATCATTATGTAGCAGATCATTCGCAGAACGTCGCTCTCATCATGGTCAGTCTGAAAAAAAACTTGATCTCTCGCCAGCTCTCCTGCCTCATATACTTTCATACTCAAGGAGTCACTTATATCCTGTGCCCATCTTCGTGTTGGTCGGCCCCTGCCATTCATTCCTGGTACCATGCCCTCTGCTATTATTTTTTCCAATCTGTCGTGGCGCTTGATATGACTAAAATATTTCAGCTTCCGAGACAGGATGCTGTTTATTAGCCAATCTTCCTTGATGTTCAGATCTTTCAAGATGTCAGTTTTTCTCCTCTTCTTTTTCCAAGATATTCTGAGAATCTTCCTATAGCATTTCAGCTCAAAAACCTCTATTCTCTTTCATAAGGACTGGGAGATAGTCCACGACTCACATCCCTATGTTGCTACAGCGAAGATACATGCACTCAATATTCTAATTTTGATCTCCATAGACTTTTAATGCTGTTTAATCTTTGCATTGCTATGGCCATCCTCCTTTTAATATGTAATGACACTAATATCTCAGTAAAAAAAAATAAAAAGTTGTTGACTGTGAAGGTACATAATTATTAGCTCAATGAGCTATATTAACTAAGGTACTTCTCAAGATCTAAGGTGAAAGCAAGAGGCTGCCCTAGAAGAAGATGAGCTGATGATATTAACCCACTGACTAAGAAGCCCTTTAACCCTTGCACTTTCCCAGATACCACACATTTTAGTGTGTACTAAAAATGCCACAGCTTCACAACTATTAAAAATACACTCATCATATTTTGTATTTTTGCTCCAAACTGAACGGAGAACACATATAAAGAAAAAAACCTGTTTATTTTGCTTCACATCATCATCATCATCATCATGTGCATGAAGATTGGTGCAAAAAAGGCAACTTAAAAATCTTTTATCTAACAACAATACAAACTAACAAAAAATGTTATATCTTCATAAGTATTGAACAAACAGTTATCATATTTTGTATTTTTTGCACCAAATTAAATGGAGAATACATTGCAAGAAACAAAAATGGGTTTGTTTTGCCTGACCTCATCATCATCTGCTGTAGATATGGTATAAAAAAGGCAACACAAAAATCTTTTTTCTAACAACAATATAGACTAGCAAAATTACCGTTAACTTCCCAACCATTCAACATACACTTAACAGTTTTTTATTTTTTCACCATTAGGATAAGAAGAAACTCCACAGGGGAGCATATACAGCAGGAGTCTACCAATCATCAGTAGAAGTAATCTCTCGTCGACAAATATTTCGGCCCACGAGCTCCTAGACATTTTCAGAGAGTGGGCCCACCTGAGTTCATGAGGCTCAGGGTTGATTTTCTCCTGCTGCACGTATTACCGGATGTTATTGGACAGGGACAAGACGAACTGGTAACTTTGCGAAAGGTACTGTGAGATACGAAGTCGTTGCGGTAGCATAATTAGAGCAGTCAGTTTACCTGGACGACCAGGTGGCAAGCTTACGTTTAGTTTACCGGACACATGTTGGACTTTGTTGGCGGGTAGCAGAGGGACACTGGCAGACAAATTGGACACGATGGACTTAAAGGGATAAGACATTTTTTTCCACTAGACACCTGGACCAGCTCACCGAGGCCCATCCCCCACGACATTTCGTTGTGTCCAGAGCCAGCTTGAGGCCCTCTCAGCAACCTCGGCCAGTTGTTTGTGTTTGTTTGCTTTCCTTCTCTCGTAAGCCTAGTTGTTTAATCACATTATACATTGAAGTGTAAATGAGACTTCTTGCGCCTACCTCGACGCCTACCTTACTGTGTACGCTTCGTCTCTTCTCAGACCAGCCGCTAAGTCACTGTATTTCTTGAGCTTATACATATGGCTTTCGTCCATTCGCGACTCAAGTGGCATGGTCAGCTCAATCAGGATGAGCTGACGTTTCTCCGCAGAGTGTAGGACTATGTCAGGTCGCAGGCCAGTCTTCCGGATTAACTCAGAGTACTATTCATGACCAGGCAGGTCAACCGCCAATAACCAGTCCCTCGCACAGACTGGCATCGATGGAGGGTATGCTACTTTGTTGAATTGACCTTTATGAATCTGCCCAACCTTAAGGAAGCGTACGGGGACAACAGTAGGACTGGTCCTCGCATGGCCCTCATCCTAGCTTCCTAGCTTTGTCCACAATGACCGCTAACTCTTTCAGCACCTTGTTGTGGCGCCAAGTATACCTGCCTTGACCTAGGGAATTTCTGCACGCAGACAGTACGTGCTCGAGCGCCTGTTTAGCTCTGCATAGCAAGCATGTCGGGTCATTAGTCGCACTACACTTTACCATGTTGACACTGGACGGCAATACATTGTAGGCAGATCGAACGATAAAGCTCAGTCGCAGCGGGGCCATTCGCCAGATCTCACCCCATGTGAGTACTCGTGGCAGGGGGCTCTCTAGGCTGATCCACTGATCTTGCTGCGACTGTTACGCGGCTTTCTGGACCCGAACCTCATTTTGGGTGTCCCCAATCTGCTGTATCACCATGTCTTAACGCTCTTTGGCTGTGGCTTTGGACCACCAACTGACTTTTCCGTGCCCTAGGCCTCGACGGTCGGTTCGAGTGTAACCCATAACTTCTCTTAATTTTAGTGCATTCTGGGCAGATTCGATCACATCTAGGACCTTCCACTTGACGCCAGTCTTTAGAGCGGGCTAGACAGCAGTGACATTTGGGTCTGAAGACTCACTCAAGAGCATGGCGAGTCCTACTTTGCCAACTTTAAACTCTTCGGTTATTGATTTGAACGGGAGTACCAGCTTAGCCTGTTTACAATACAGAGCCACATCAGTCAGACAAGGCGGTGCTCCCAACCACTTTCTCGAGGCTGTGTTGATTTTGGGCTCCATCGTCTCCACTACAGTCATCGTCACTTCGTAGACGAGCAGCGGCCAGAGGAGCTTTGGAATCAACATAAATTGGAGACACCAGACCTTGAACTCTCCGATCAGCCTGCTGCACTCGATCGCGAGCAGGCCTGTAGCCAGTGACTCGTGTATTCGCCGGACCTCCGCTCTATCAGATAACTACGAATCGTAAACACGACCAAGGCTCTTCACCGGTTCCCCTAGAACCATGGGGATCTGATTCCTTGCCACCGTAAAACTGATCGCCGACACCTTACCAATTTAAATGCAGAACAAATTGCAATAGAAAAAATAAGTTTATTTTGTTTTGACATCGTCATCATCTGGTTGTAGTTACTGTGAAAAAAATAAAAAGCATCAGAAAAATCGTTTATCTCTCAACAATACAGACTAAACTTCATGACATATAAAACAAGAAATTGTATTGTTTTACCAATATATAAAGTGGCGTGCAATTCAATATCAGTGCAATAAAAAAAAAAAAAAGACAGAAAAGAAATATATACCACTCTCATTTATCACAAGATGTATCAGTAGTATGGTACAGTTCACAGCATCCTTCAATACAAAGTGGCACCTGACATTCCCTACGCTAGTAACTTGTCATGGTCCCTTTGCGGTCCTTTTAATTTCTGGATTCTTACATTTTTCCTTGTCTACACACACTGTGCACTTTCTTCCGAAAATGGGGGTACTTTAGGAAAGCCTTGCAAATCACAACACCAGTCATCAACCAGTAGGGATGATGATGATTCTACATCAAAAGTGGTAGTGATATCTTCATCATGTGCAGGCACAGGCACAATATCTTCAAAATCTACAGCTCTGAATGAATATTTTCACTAGAACTATCAATATTAGAAAATGCTGCACTTGTCTTTGCTATGAAAGGTGTAACTGCTTGTCGAGTCTTAGTTTGACTGGACTTTGAAAAGACATGCTGGTGTTTCACTGTCGATGATGTTTTTCGTGGTAGTTCGATAGATTAATCAAAGCCAGAGTCATCAAACTGTTCAATAATATCTTCACCTTCACTTTCCAAAGAAAATCAAGAAAATCAGCACAGAAACAGATAAGTGATAAAACTGACCACCATGATAGCTTTGAGAATTTGATGCCTTGAAGACAATTTTGTCAATGTGTCACTGACATGGGAGCTTACAATGAAAATTCATCAAATATTATTATAAGCACTACAAAGTTGTTTCACTTAATTAATATAGATGAATGGGCTAAAGGCTTCAACCAAATTCATAGAAAAAAAATATAATTTTAACATGACGGTCCAAGGCTACAATCGCAAAGGGTGAGATGTTGGCAGCAAGAAGTAAATGTTGCATCATCGCATAATGTGCGAAGTGGGCAGTCAGTGGGTTAAACAGCTTCTACATCAACACAGAATGATAACAGCCATTACTGCCTTTCAATCAATGGATCCCAAACTGTTCCTCCCCACAACGCTTAACGGCAGGAGTGGAAACTGATGAAGATGATGACTTCTCAAGATAATACAAGATAGAATTAAAAATAAAATTTTAACAAAGTTTCTGAAAAGCAATCTTGATAATCTGGGTTCGATATAAGTTTTGGCACTGCCGACTCCAGAATTTGTTGTGAGGACGCTGACATAAATATATACAGAAGTTCGGATATATCTATATGTTTTTAAAAAGGTTTAAACAAAGCTTTTGACAGAGTGCAACGTAAAACTAATTGCATGCCCCCAAGGTAAAGCATTAGGTAGAAAGAATATAAGATTTCTTAGTAACCTATGTTAGGAACAAGTAGTCATATATAACAACTACTACTCATCAAACAGACAGATAAGAAAAACAGTATGCAGGGATAAGTACTATTGCTGAGCCTTTTCAACTTATCTACAGAAAGCATTTCAAAATAAGTTGGTGAATTGCCTGGACTGGATATCTGTAAAACAAATAATAAAGGAGCTACAAGACTCAGTGGAGCCAGTAAATGAGTAAAGCACAGAGTATAAATTAACTACTTTATTACAAAAATACAAAGTATATGACAATGTTAAAGCCAAGTTTACTGTATTAGATGTTTATTATTTTATAACTGTAATTCTGTTTAATATGTTCTTTATCTCTATGAGACATCTTCAAACCAATGTACCGCGATCGAAACCCACTGCTGGCTGCGTGGATTTTTATCATGGTATGGGGCGTCGCAGGTCAACCCAGCCTAAAATGGATACCAGGATGTATGTGCGGATCGGTCTGTAAATAAAAATTGCTGCTCTTCCCATATGCTTGATGCACCAAAAGGTGTGAAAAAGGTATCTTATTCTAGACAAAAATAGGCCTAAGACTAAACTCTGAGAGGAAAAATGTCAATTGTAAGTCATATAGCAGGCAGGCAGACAGAAAAAGGAGTGCAAAAAAACTAACCAGTTTATAAGATAAATTTAAGATATAAGTGTTCAAAAAATAAAATAAAAATAGCTTACTTTATGAACTGTATCTCTTTCGGACATCACAAGGGCATATTCCTTAACAGCTGCATCCTTCTCAGCTCTCAAAGCTTCATAGCTTTTCTTTAATTCTGCATGCTTTGCAAAAGTCTGGTTGAAATCTTTGCAGAAATCATCTCTCTGTTTAATGACCATAGTCAATTGATCCTTCACCTGACTGTGTTTGATCAGCATCTTTAACAAAAACAATGAGATTAACTCAGTCATAACTGCATATGCATTTTTCTTTGTTAATACAAAGTCATGCACCTCAGAATTTTCTAGCCCACAGAAAAACTAATCATACACAATCACCTTAGTAAATGGAAGTCATGGTAGCATGGTGGCTAGAGGCCTGACTGCCTGAATGCCTTGGGTTAGGATCCACATCTAGCTGAATATTTTAATGACTGTGACTTTTAAGTTCACCCAACCTAGAATGGGTGATATAAGATATGCTGAAAAGCAAAGGTAGACATAATTGTGAAGACCATATCACCTAGTGAGATAGATAAATAAATTTAAAAAGTTAACTTCATTTTGGCAAAGACATAAGGGCTATCCTCTGACAAACGGTCGGCAAAGATGGCGGCGGTAAAATATCCAGCTGAGCCGTGGTCCCGGGTCATTGTGCACTTCCGGCTACTTAATTTGTCCTCTTCCGGCGGTTTTCCGCCAACAACCGCTACCGCCATGTGGCCCCCACGCCGCGTGGATTGGGACTAAACTAGATGGCTAGGACTCACGAGCAGCAGCTTCCGCATCTCCTGCAGCTTTGCTCGTGAGTCCTAGCCATCTAGTTTAGCTCCAATCCATCCCGCGAGAGCGGCGTGGGGGCCCCGTGGCGGTAGCCACTGTCGCCGGAAAAGCGCATATGAAGTAGCCGGAAGCGCGCAATTGACCCGTGACCTCAAGTGCGCAATGACCTGTGACCGCGGCTCAGCTGGATATTTTTGCCATCTTTGCCGACCGTTTGTCGGAGGATAGCCGACATAAAAATGAGAAATATATAATATATACAGTACAGGATACTCAGTAGATTTTCATAAAAATCTCAAAAGCTTTAAAAGGGGAAAACTACAGAACTATTGGCTTAATGAGTCATACAACTAAGAGTTTAGAAAACAGAAAGAGATAGCTGACAGGCAATCTTTTTGGTTTTTAAAAAAAAAGCTGCAGAGCAAGTATTGACTATTAAATAAACAATAACTGAAATGAACGAAACACAGAAAGTATGGCCCAAATGGAAAATTATACAGACATACAAATGCATCCAATGATAGTCTAAATAATCTAGTAATGAGAAGAACAGAATCAGAGAAAAGGTCACTGCTGAGCAGAAGAGAGCCTACACAGGTCTAAAACCTCAAGTATGAAGATGACATTGGCTGCAACTACTGCAGCTGCCATTAGCTTACTTGCATTATCTGTCACCTGGCTGTAATATGTATCATTAAAAATGGGACAGATTATGACATGAGTGGCTAGTGAGCGAAGGCAATTCTCTCAGAAAACACTTCCATGGATCAGATGTCCAGGTAATGCTAAAGAAAAGACAATTTTATAACAGTATGACAATATAAGCAATGTATGAAAGTCCGTTGGCTTGAGCTGAGTTAATCTGATTCAAGAACCGACATCACAGCACTTAGGGCAAACCCATAAGCCCTGTCCCCATTTTCAGCAGTCAGTGGAAAGTTCCAATACTAATGGCACCAGTAGCATTCTAATCAAACGCCTAACTTGTGTTTTCTCTGAGCCTCAAGCATCGCCCCAACACCTCATCACTTCCCGCTGCATCAATCTCACCAGTCTGTGGTGATTCATCAGCTCCTTCGAACTGTGCACCCTCTCCCACAAGGCACTAACCACGTCTGCCTTATCCTGCATCAGTATTTCACCAAATTGTGCAAAGCCAGCCAGCCAGTCTGCCTGTTCATTTCCTAACACACCGGAGTGTCCCGGAGAAAAAAATTTAGACAATACTCCTCTGCAGTGAAGCATGCCACTCTGCACGAAGGATGCCTGTCCTGACCTTCCTCAGCTTTCTGAGCTAGTTACAATCACGATGTGTGTGTGTGTGTGTGTGTGTGTGTGTGTGTGTGTGTGTGTGTAGTGTTCTCTACCCAGTGTAAAGCTGCAGTGACCGCCTCCACCTCCATACTTAAGCTGGATATTGTGGTATCATATGATAGGCTCTCCTGCACCAAATGTTGATTATTACCTTTTACTAAGAAACCCCAAGCACTTCTTTTGCCTCTTGACACTGAACCATCTGTATAAATAATCAAATCCTCTGAGCAAGCATTATCTTGAATTAAATGCTAAATTTCCACCTCTGTGGCACCTGTTGGCCAGTATCTGCATTCCCCGCTCAATGTGATTATGACCCTACACAAGTCTGACTGTTCAGCTGGCACTTTGATCCACTCCTCTCCTCGCCTAATGTTCTCCATGATGCAAACCTGTCTGATTATGTCTTCTGCATGAGCCATCCATGACTTCCCTCCTATCAGCCGCTGACCCTTAACTGCGCCCAGTGCTTTGTGCAAAGGGTGATCTGTGTCTGCAGCTACCTTGAGATATGACTTAACTGGCAACAGTCGGCAAACCAAGGATGTATCGCACACACTCCACTGTGGTGTCTCTGGTGCAACTTCCGAATGACAGCAACTATCTTCTCCAAGACCATCCCAATATGATTTGTAAGGTAATGATTCTAAAACCACTGAGCTTTGAATGATCCTCAAAATGTTTTGGCAGTGCGATTAGACAGCTGTGCACCTTATCCTGCAATACTGATGCTGTCTTAATGCTTTGGTTAAAGCAGTCGGTCATCTCTGCCAGGTTTACATCGTTCAAAGCTTTCATGTGGCCATACCTGACCCCATAAGTCCATGGTGCATTATCTTTTGCAGTTTTTCCAAATTGTTTGATATCTTCTACTTGTATCATGTCTTCTTTCATGCATATCATGCATATTCTTTATGGTGTCAGCTAACTTCTCTCTAACTGCTTCCCAGATGTCTACATCATTATGGTCTGTTTGAGTTAAAAACCTCTGAAGAAAAGCCTCCTCTTTCTCCTTGTCTGTTGTCATACACACACCATTGTCTCTACAAATTGTTCCCACTGTCATAGGCCAATCTTTTCTTTGCTTCTGCCTTTGCAGTTTCCAGAATTTGCCCAGTGTTTTACCCCCCTTCCATATCATTCACAAATGTTTCCCACTTTGCTCTTTTGGCCTCTGCAGCACAGTGCTTAAAAACCTCTACCTTCTCTTTTTTCATATTCTCCACCATCTCCACCTCAAATGGCTTCAAGAGTACCAATATCAGACACATTTTGTCGAGTAACATTGGATGAACTGTTTTCCATGTTGTCCATTAGTAAAGGCAGTGTCCAGACTGTCATTAAAGCCCTGGGTTATTCAAAGGTTTGTGCACGGTGGGTACCCAGAATGTTGACGGACAGCTATAAAGAAATAAGGAAAACCATAGTCACCAACCTCTTGACTCTTACGAAACTGAAGCAGAAATTAGTTCTCTTACAAAACTGAAGGAGAAAGCTTTTAATAGCATACTGTGACAGGTAACGAGACTTGGGTGCATTTTTAAAAATCAGAATTAAAGAGACAATGGAATGGAATGACATAACATCACCAAAAAGAATGAAGTTCAAATATCACCGTCTGTAGGGAAATTAATGGTCTTGGTGTTTGGGGACGAGAAGGACGCGATTCTTCTTGACTTCTTGGAAGAGGGAAATATAGTGAATGCTGACTGTTACATTTAAATCTGAAGAAGCATAGAGGTCATCTTCAGCAACCTTATTTATTAAACAATCAGAGAACTATACTGCTATGGCATGACAATGCCAAACCATACACTGATAAACTCACCACTAAAAGGATTGCAGAATTTGGCTGGACATTATTACCACATCCCTCTTATAGTCCTGATCAGACTTTCATTTGTTTGGACCACTGAAAGAATATCTTTGTAGACATCATTCTGAGAACATTGAGACCTTTACGCCAGTGGTTTAACAAAAGAGGATACATATTTTTACTGTGCATGGAAACAACATGCCCTTGTAAAAAGATGGATAAAAACGGTATCAAATAATGGAGATTATATTGAGAAATCAATTTCAAAGTTGGGCTACATTTCCATGCAAATCTGATCTCTTTTCTTGCCTACTGAATGCAATTAAAAATTAGGAGACAATACTTTTTCACCGTCCATCATAATTTTAAACTCTTTTCACTGTTATCAGAATATCTCTACCAAAAAAAAAAAATATTCAGAATAAACATGACAGTGATGATGTAAATAGTGTAATTAAGCATAATTTATAGTAAAAATGTTCAGCTGTACCTGATTCCATTCTCTTATAGCATTTGTACACTGAAGCTTTAAACCATTCCTCTCCACAAAAAGAGCTTCATTCTTGATTCTCATCTCTTCTAGTTGAGATCTCAGTGTCACATTCTCTTCTGAGGCATCATTTAGTTTTGCTACCACAGAATTATGCAAAGCCATTAGCTCAGGATACTTTTCTCTGAGTAAATCATATTCCTTGCATATATTTTCATATTTGTTTACCACAGCAGCATATATCTCTCCCAAATCATCATTTGAGGACGTTCCAACAGCAGCCTAAAAACATAAACATCAACACACAATGACAATTTACCAAGATTTTAAAAAAAACTTAAAGGGTAAAGTGACCATGAATTAAACATTTTAATTTATACTTTATCTGCATCCAAACGTAGGAAAAGCACCCGGGCCAGACAACATCTGACTGGAAGAAATCGAAGCACTGGGAGATTTTGGAACTGAAATAATAACTAAACTTTTAAATGATATTTATAAAAGTGGGTATATTCCAAATGACCTTTTAAAATCCATATTTATAGCTCTGCCAAAGAAACCAGGCACTTTAAAATGTGAAGACCATCGCACAATAAGTCTTATCAGTCACATGACTAAGATTTTACTGAGCATAATTATGAGAAGAATAAGAAACAATATTAAACCAGAAATCAGCGATAAACAATGTGGATTTGTAGAAGGAAAAGGTACAAATAATGCCATATACATTCTAAGGACGTTGTCAGAAAGAGCTGTAGAAGTAAAGACTGATTTGTACTTATGCTTCATAGACTATACAAAAGCATTTGACTGTGTGAAGCATGAAGAAGTAATCAAATTGTTAGAAAAATTAAACATTGATGGAAAAGATCTACGAATAATAAAGAATATGTATTGGCAGCAAACAGCAGCTATAAGAATTACCAACTGTTTAGGTACATTTCAAAGCATAAAGAGGGGCATACAACAAGGATGTGTACTATCACCTGATTTGTTTTCAATATACAGTGAATATATAATGAGATCTTTAATTGATATGCCCGGAATTGTGGTTGGTGGGCACAATATAAACAATTTACGTTATGCTGATGACACAGTCTTGATAGCAACAAGTCAGAAAGAATTACAGGAAATGATAGACATTGTGGTGTTATAAAGTGGAAGAATGGGCCTCAGTTTGAATAATGGGAAGACAGAAGTAATGGTGGTATCAAAGAAACGAATTATTCTTAAGTGTGTAATAAAAGTGGATGGTGTTGTTTTAAGAAAAGTACAGAAATTTAAGTATCTGGGCACATGGATAACATCAGATAGAAGATGCAAAATTGAGATAAGAAACAGAATAGGACAGGCAAAAACTGCATTTTATAAAATAAAGAACATCTTGTGCAATATATCCTTGTCATTAAGAGTTAGAAAAAGGATTCTTGCTTGCTACATACATCCAGTTTTAACATATAGCTGTGAATCCTGAACAATCGGTAGGCAGGCCAAACAATTTCTTGAGGCCTCAGAGATGTGGTTTTAAAGAAGAATGCTTAGAATACCTTGGACAGCCAAAAAGAGCAATCAAGAGGTTTTGAAAGAGACGGGAGCCCGAAGACAACTTATAACAGACATCGGGAGGAGACAGTCATCATTTTTCGGCCATGTTATGAGAAGAGGGAAAATAGAACATGTTGTGTCCACTGGAAAGATCTGTGGAAGGAGGGAAAGAGGAAGACAACGAGAGAAGATTCTTGAAGTCTTGTTGCATGGCATGGAGGTGTGTCGGCACACAAACTGATACATGCTGCAAGAGATCGTGGATTATGGAGAGACATGATCGCCCACGCCAGTCGGCAAGGCACCTGATGATGATGACATCCATACATACATCCACTAGTAGACATAAATATAGTCATTCTTTCATCATCTTTGCATAATATTACTTGGCCAGTAATATCTAATGGATAGTATGATACTGGGATAAAAGAAAACACAACTATTGTAATTTTTTTTTTAAAACAAGAATGAATGATGTCATGAAAATAACCAATATCACAATGAACATAAAATGTTGAATAAATTACTTTTATGAAGCATACTGAGACAGCAGGTGAGATAGAGAAGTTGGCTTTACATTTAAAAAAAAATACTAAGCAAGAGACAAACATCCTTAATCAAAGGTGCAAAATCAGTATGGTAGTCACATAAAAAACAGCATTCTTACATCCTCTGTCTAAACTATAAGATAGGAATCTCAATATATTAGGAAATGCTTAAAAACAGCCGACGGCTTTATTAGCAGGCAGAAAATGTCATCTTTTTTAAAAGTTTGCTGTAAATAAGTTGAATGAATGGTAATAAATGTTCAAATGACTATTAAAAAGGCCAAGCTTATTAAGAGTATCAGGACCAAAAGAGAAATTCATGTTTGACAAATGCTTTCCGAAATGAATGAAATAATCCTGCCTGTTCCTACACTGCCACAATGGGTGTCTTGAAGCATCCATGTGGAAAGTACCTATGTTAACGAGAACAGTTTAATGTAAAATGGGATGTAAAATGCCCACTTAAGGTCACTGAAGTCTCAGGTCCATGGCGTGTTTCCTTCTATCCCCTAAAAGTGCAGCCCATGATCAATAGGAGGCTTGATATATGAAGTGGGGTTAAAGCAGTCATGCACAGGACAGCATGATTCCTTAGACAAGTGCCAATATCAACCCTGCCTTTACAGAAACCTCCTTGAATAGGAGGAATGCCCATGTTCTGTCCCTGTCTACCACTGTGGGCTAACCAGTATACATGAAGCTGCTCTGAATGAGCCAATTGGATTGGGGGAGATGACAATACAAAACAACGAGGTTGTACAATGTCCCATGAAACTGAGAAGGCAAATGCCTGAACAAACCAAAAGTCGCAAATACTGACCTATGCTGTAAACAGGCAATGCAATTACACCCAAAGCAAAAATTGGTCAAATGAGGAAGTAAAATGTTTCCTTTTGCATACTTTTCTTCCCCAACATCTATTGTTAATATCTAGCAGCTGTGTTATTTTGTATGGCCAAGCAACCTTAACTTAATCTCATTCAGTAAGGTTTTCTTCAATTTTCTGATTCTGTAATCCTTCTATTTTTGTTTCTTCACCAACCATGACATTCTTCTAATTTGTCTCCAAAATAATATTTTAACCCTACCAGACCTGAGGCCCTGAACCTAACTGTCCCCTATACCTGAGCTCCTGGGCATTAATGCGAAAAACCAACATGATATACAAAAATATTAGTTAAATAAAAACAAGTGGCTAGAATAAGATGAAACTTGAAGACATAGTAGAATTTAGGCTTATCTTTTATCTAGCGCCAATATTCCACCTTTGTGTGTCAATCCACTCAGGAGGATCAGGATTGTTACACAAATTGAGCACCAGATGTTGCCGTTTAAGTGACACGCCCCCTTCTCTTACTATCGATCTATTTCTAGATTTATAATTTTCAAGATTCTTTTCATTATTCGAGCTGTGTCAAACTGTGAACGTATTCTTCATGAAATTATGACTCCGCAGAGTCTGAATAAACCAAAGAATCGATCACCAGTTGGACTGTGAAAAGGCTAGACCTACTTCACTTTCCTGTCGAAGTGCTTGGTTTATCAGCAGCTTGTTTAATTGCGAATTTTCATAATTTGTGCACGTAAACAACACAAATTTAATCCAAATACATGCGAACAGACATCTATGAAGACTATCCACGAGATCTGATTTTGATTGGCTAGTTATATTTAGTCTGTGACACATCTTTTTAATGTACTAACCGAATTGCCGAAAATTTGGGACAGCAGTATAGCGTCAGGTTAAGAAATTCCCGAAAAATTGGGTCAGCAGTCTGGTAGGGTTAAAGGCTTCAATTTTACTCTCACACTGTTTATTTAGTGCCCATGCTTCGGTACCATATATTACTGTATGTGTAATATTTAACCAATCTGACTGACATTCAGTTTGCAACAGCTTTTTAGATATGAGAAGATGCTTCATAATGCGAGTTCTGCTAAAACTTCCTGTCAGTGAAAACAGAAATCATTGCTTTAACAAACAAAAAACTATGAAAGAGATGAATATATGTTACCATATATTTGTAACTTCCAGCATAATATGATGGATAGCTGGCCTACAGTTTTAGTTTTGAACTACTGAGCTGAGTGCTTGGTGCAAAACTGTAAGCTGCAGATTTCATTCTTAATGCTTCTTGACTGTGTCCAGTATGGTTGATATTGTGAAGTGCAGATTCAGAAAGATGTAAAGTGGTTTGCTGCTACAGAACTGATAGTGCCTTATGCGAAATTGTGCACATAAATGTCCATCTGTTGTAATTATTGATCCACTTATAATGAACTACAGTTCTAGTCACGGAATGTTTGTGTTGGCTTTTCTGATGGAAGCATGATGTATTTAATGAGTGTGCATGCTTTTGGTTTTACTGAGACTGCAGTCTGTATCTGTTCAAAAGGGAAAGTGATGGCTGGCACAGAAACGGAGCTAATATGGGGTGACCTGCTGGCCATGAAGTTGGAAATGTGATTAACTAATTAAATGTTAACAAAGAAATTAGGCACACAAACTAAATACATCTACAATATACTTGTTGCCTGTATTATTATTCTTTGCAATGGAGGTACATTTCTCAATATTTTTAGCTATTTTTCTACTTTACAGTGAGTCTTCAATAAGGCAATGCAACTGTTTGGTAACACTGTTGAATTTAGGTGATCTTTAAAAACCAATATATAGATGCAGTTAAACAATCACTTTAATTAATATTTATGTTAATGTTTATTCAACCTAATGCTCACCTTCCTCTGTTGAATCCTAAGCTCAGTCAACTCCTGTTTGTCTTCTGACCTGAGCTTTTGCAAAGAAGCATTTTCATCCCATAATTGTTTTTTTTCAACTTGCAGCTCTGTTTGCTGCATCTTCAGTGCATGTATTTCTGCAGCTGCTTGCTGCAGACGTTGAGACTCCGCTTTTTTCACTTCACGCAAGTGCTTCATTTCCTTAGTAAGCTAATTTTAAAATGAATAAAGAGAATTACATTTTTCTGTTCAAAATAATCATTGATTAAAAAAATTAACATTAAACCCATTTCATGCTAAAGCAATTTATGTTTTGAATTTTCTTTAATGCGAACCTACTCAGTATTTCATTCATCATTTTATTTATTAACTAGCTGTACCCAGTCACATGTTGCTGTCGCTAAGTCCGGCTGAATGGAAAAGAAAGAAAATAGAAAGTGCATGTATCTAATATGGTTAATTTCGCAATCAATGTCTGCACAGATATAGAGATAGTCTGGTTTGCCCACTCTAGAACATGCAACATATAATTGTGTCTTTTTATTAGTGGTCATTTAAATTGTATTGTAAAGAGTAAAAAAAATTTGGTTATTTGTTTATCCCATGCTAAAGCTTTTTAGGCTATCCTCCGACTAACGGTCGGTAAAGATGGTAGCTGCAAAATATCCTTTCTAGCCACAGTCACGTGTCAATCGCTCACTAGCGGTCACGAGCACACCGCGGCTTTTTGCTCGTGGGTCCTAGCCATCTAGTTTAGCCCCATTCTACGCCGCGTGAGCGGCGTGGTGGACACGCGGCGGTGGTCGCCGGCGCAATTGAGACGTGACTGTGGCTCGAAAGGATATTTTGCGGCCGCCATCTTTACCGACCGTTAGTCGGAGGATAGCCGCTTTTTATATTTTTTAAACAACTGAAAGTAAAGCTTACTACTATACTTTGAAATAACTAATAAATTTGCAAAAAAACATTAGAATAGTTGAGGTAGCATTATTAAAAAATAAATAATTAGAAAATGAAAATTGGAAAATCATGATTTTAGCTCTCTCAGTTAACAGTTTATGTCATCACCCCTTTCCCTCCCCCCTCAAATCCACTGACTACTCCTGTCTCCAAAGGATTGAAGAGTGCTGTCCAACAGATGGCAGTTCTTCCACCTGGTAGCAATGTCAAACCCTGTTACTGACAGTCTGCAGTATTTGATCGTAAGTGGAACAGTTCTGGTTTGGTATATTTTGGACCGAGTCACGTGCTTAGGGGTCAAGGGTCAAAGTGAGGTAGGGGCTATATTTAGATCAGAGATCTAGATAATCTGGTAGCTCGCTCGGAAAGGCAAAAGCATATTTAAAAAAAAAATATCTGTCAGTGTTGTGACTTCATATTATAGTAGGTAAATAAAATTATGCACTTGAATGACAATTTCATTTTTAGGAACAAACAAATGAACGAACATTTTTATTTATATAGATTGCTTTATGTTAATGTTTCTGAAGCAGAGGTTTAAGTTTTAGCTGAATAGTTTATTATGTGTGCAAAAAAATGTTCCTTATTTCTCCGTATGTCTGCCTTACACTGCAGCCTATTCTAGCATGACATACCTCTTGAAGCATCATTATTATATGCCATGTTAATAATAAGCATAAGCAGCCACTGTTCAAAAACTCACATAATCATTAGTCAGATCACTGCTGTGTTCTTGTCTCAGTTATACCATTTTGCCAAGCCATTCTGCCATGGGCAGAAAAGCAGCAGACCGGTAGTAATGGAGATCACCTATGAATGCCTTGTGTGTCAACAGCGACATGAAGAGGATATAGATAATAGAAGCCATCCAGGATTTTATCTGTTTGTCTTCCTTTTAAAAAAATCAAGTTTGCTACTTGTCACTGGGTTTTCAGGCCTATTTTTCCTCAGTCTATGTCCAAACCATCTTGACTGCCTAAATCTAATTTCTCTAAACAATTTACAGGTTCTGTTTCTTTAAGGTATGCTCATTTGTTCATTTGAAATTCTAAAATATTCTTTGCAGATATTTCTGCTGCCATTAAAGGTCTCTTAGCCTGTCTGCTTATTGTTCATGTTTCACATGCAAACAAGAGTACAGGTTCCCAAACAAATCTGATATTCTTTTTTTTTTAACTCAGTGGTCTCCAGCCTGGTGGGGATTTCATGGGGGGGGGGGGGGGGGGGGGAGGGGGGGGGCATTTTAAGGTTAAACAGTCATGAAAACAAAACAGCAGTGCCAGCTTGATGTGCAAAAAGATCTCCATTGCAACTTGTCCAACATCAGACCAAAAATAGTAGATACCATCAAAACAAAACAGTGCCACCATCACACTGATATTTGGACACTACATTACCAGAAGTGGTGATTGTTTCTTTTGTTATTTTATGCTTTGCTCTAATCAAGTTAGGTCATGAGTGAGGAGACTGGCCAGCTGACCAAATCATGACAATTTCCGCCCAAGTGATGTGATTATATATACAGTTGGCTCTGTGTTGAGGGGCAGATAAGTGCATGGGTTTTCATAGCAAGGGCGAATGGATGTCGTCTAGTGCAGCAAAGCCTTGCATATGATATCTTTGTCTTGTTTGAGAATGGAGGTGGAGGCAATCTCTGCTGCCTTCCACTGGCTTGAGAATCATCTGTACACCCATACTGTGATTGTAACTGACTCACAGAGCATGTTGAGAAAGGTGAAAACAGGCATGCTTCGTGCAGAGTGGCAAGCATCACTTCAGAGGTCCCGGGTAGTTAGCATCCGCTGGATATTTTCTCCAGGTCATACCCGTGTGCTGGGAAATGGGCAGGCAGATAGACTGGCTGGCTCTGCATCATTTGGTGGTGAAATGATGTATGACAAGTTAGATATTGTGAGGGCCCTTTGGGGGCGAGTAAACGGTGGTAGATCATTAAGGTCTAATAAGAATGGCGCTGCAATGAGTTACCATGGGGATCTGGCCAACGATCAACACTCTGGGGAAGGATGAGACGGATATAAAATCAGATGGTTACTGGTACCATCGGAAAAGGAACTCTTCACTTGCTGCTGAAGAAGGGGACTGAGCACTTATGGGAGTGTCCCAAGTACTGAGATGTTGATTCTTAATTTAACATTCAATGCTTTGAATTATGTGCGTATTTTTCTGCAAGTTCTTGTTAACAGTGCTTGAAATTTTTCTTTTTCTCCTCTTTTTAATCACATTTCTCTCTCTTTTACTCTCTCTCGTGTGTGTCTGTGTGGGGGTGGGCGGGCATGTGTGTATGTGTGGTGGTGGTGGTGGGTTGTCACAGAGTGAATTAAAATTCAGTGCTTGACTCGTCCACCAGAAAAGAAAAAAAAGACCACCATTAGAAAGGAGGAAAATCATTTCTATAAAACAAAGTCAAAATATGCACTTAGAAATTATTAACTCTTTTCGGACGTTTAGCCAGTATACTGGCGCTTAAGTCTATCCCTTAAAGACGTAAAGCCAGTTTACTGGCTCATGGTAGAGACACTCTCATTTTGTTCCGTTTGTAGGGTAAACGAACTTTTATGAACAAGTTTTTTAACAATTAGGATTAACAACAGGATGTACTTTCATTTGCGATGTTCATCGTGGTCGGTGCATTATTTTGTGATTTAAAATAAATTATTTAGATAGGATACAATTTTTACGTGATTTTTCTATACTAAATGATAAGGAAAAAGGTCTAGAACTGTCCATACTGCTCTATCGTTGATGAATCCCTGCCAGATGGTGACAACAGTCATGATTTTATGATTGATATCTAAGGGACACATCTACTAGCGATAATTTAGTTTAGGATATGAAAATTTCACGAAATACTTCAATTAGATCAATGTTTTGATCAGCTGTTTTTCCGATTTTTGGTTGTTGTGAAAATTGACGTCATACAAAAATGATTATAATATCCAAAGTATTTAAATTAATTGTTTCAAATAAAGACTAGCTAATACATAATTGAACAGAGAAGGCATGTGTATTCTTAGAATTGGATAGCAGTGTTGTTGAACCAGTAAACAATAAGGTTAACAAACAATTTTTTATGTTTAAAATTGTCCTTTGTGTCTAACATCCTTGAATGTTGTGTGATTTTAATAATATTTTGATGTTATACTGACATTTAAGTAGTTTAGATGTATTCTGCACTCATTTATCCTCAATTTGATATATTATAAGTCTCGATACAGCCCATACTTTTTCTTCAGGAAGGTTTTAGCTTTGTCGTGTTGCACTAAACAAATTCCACTTAAAATTAATGCTGCCCAAACCCCAGAAAAAATGCCGTCCTAAAAGAGTTAATGGGATACAGAAAATGAAACAAATGATCAAGTCCTCCAATCAGATGGACAAGAAAGGCCCGCAGATAATATGAGTGCTTCGATACATGTGTGCTCTTTAGACACCAGGGATGTATTCATTTTAATGCTTTGCCTCAAACATGTTTACTGATTACACCTTTCAAATATTCTTACATATTTAGAAAAATAATTTAAAAATGCGATAAATATATTTCAAAAGAATTTTTAATAGTGTGCATAGCAAAAAATTATTGTTTTAAATTATTTTTTTCCCTCAGGAATCCTAACATGGTCATGACCTTATGTTTTTTTTTTTTAAACAGTTCTCAGGTGAAAGGGTTAGAGACAGAGCTGAAACTTTTTTTTAGTTACAAAGATTTATATTCTGAGAATTGTTCTTCAACTATACTGATCAAGTGGTCCAGATTTCAAATCCTCTTTATAGTAAGTAGGCCACATCCATTTATTCCCTCATATATAAAGACAGGTCTAAAAGAACATCATACAATTACCTGTTGTAAGTGGCAAAATAAGGTAAAAATGTATAACACACCTGATCATATCTGTGCCTCATATCTAACATTTCTGCATTCTGCTGCTTGAGACCATGAAGTTCATTAAAAGCCTTTTCAAACTGCTTAAAGAACCAGTCATAACTTTTGTCAGGATATCCATGCCTGACAAAGACATTAGTTTGTGAAGTGTGGCTAGATGAACTGTAGTCTGCTGACTGAGATGTTGGGCTGAAGTGTTCACTGAAAGAAGAAAGTAAAGACAACACATTAAATGTTTGGCAAATTAAAGCAGTCAGATTCTGATTTAAAAAAGCAAATAACTGTATGCTGTACTTTCATCAAAGCTTTACAGAAATAAAGAACAGATGTGGTGCACTGGTACACTGATAGATCTTAAAATTCTGTTTCAGATGTTAATGAAAAATAGAAAATATTTAACCTGGCATAAGAAAGGTAAATATTCATTCTGAGACTTATTTTACATAAATCTGTCGAAAAATAACAAACCCTGGTCATAACATAAACAACCTGCATTATGCTTATGACACCGCCTTGATAGTGACAAGACAAAATAATGAGAGGGATCGATAGATCTGTGGTGGCAGTAAGTGATAAAATGTGCCTAGCTTGAATAATGGAAAGATAGAAGAAATGGTAATATCCAAGAAAAGAATAGTGTATAACAACAGGCAAATGTGTTATTTTAGGACAATTACAGAAATTTGAGCATCTAAGCATATGGATAATATTAGACGGATGATGTATCACAGACATAATCAACAGAGTAGGACAGGCTAAAACTCTATTTTATAAAACGAAGAACATTTAATGCAATAAATCCATTTTAGTGAGGCTGAAAAAAGAATTCTCGCAGGCTATACTGAGCCAATCTTAACACATAGCTGTGAATCATGGATAATTAACAAACAAGCCAACTAAATTATTGAGGCTTCAGAGATGTAGTGTTACAGAAAAATCCTTAGAATTCCTAGGACAGCCAAAAAGAGCAACCCAGATGATCTGAAAGAAGACAACCTGAGACATCATAATTTTTCCCTCATATTATGAGAAGCAGGAAAGTGGAGCATGTAGTGAAAACTGGAGACATCTGTGGGAAAAAAGGCAGAAGAAGACATTGTGAGACAATTCTTGACAACCTTTTGTCATGGCATGGAGGAATGTCGACACACAAAATGATACATGCTGCTGAAGATCATAGATTGTGGAGAGGCATGATCGCTCATACCAGTCAGCAAGGCACTTGACGATGATGATGATATACCGATGAAATTAATAAACATTATTAAAGCTACGTATGAAAGTTCAGAGTGTGTGAACTGATGATGATTTCAGTGATTGTACTGGAAACACCGGCATTGACTGGTTAGAGAATTCAGTTGGAAAATACTGACTTTGCTGATGATATAGTTTTGCTTTATAAAAACAGCAATGACATAGACAGAAAAACAGATGATTTAGCAAACATATTATCAAATGTTGAACTACAAAAAAGTTTTTTAAAAAAAAAATACACTGAAGACACCAACAGATGCAGCAAATGTAACACTTGAGACAAAAGGAATTAAAGCAACAGAATAATTTTCTTATTAAGGTAGTAATTTTGATAGACAAGGACATATATGTATGTATGTATGTATGTATATGTGTGTGGAGGAAGGTGGGTGTGTGCGTGCGTGCGTCCAGATAGTTGGCAGCACGAGAGGGAGTGAGAGGAAGGGGTCAATGTCTATGTAATTTTGTAAAAATTAACAGTAGGCCAAGAAAAAGTTTAGGAATCTATAGTGCACACAAAAGTCCTTTTGTTCTCGCCAATGCTGTAACTGGCTACATTGGATATTTACCTGAAAGTAGGAAAACTACTGCTCACAGTGCAGTTTGGATCATTCCTAGTCATTCTTGTCCTATTGTTGAACTCTTCAAGTCTGGTATCTGAAATATAGGGGGAGGGAAAAAGACAATACAGCTGGGAACAATCTTTCTCTAAAAGATCACTTAATACACCCATCAGTAATTCCTATTAATATTTTAACAATGCATTTACAAGAGCCATGAAATGATTTTTTTTTTCAAATCACATTCTGAAAAACACTTCCTTATATTTCTCTGAAACTATACCCTAAAAAGAAGCAAAAAACATTTGCATTCTTAGTCAGATTTCTAAAAATCCAAGGGTTGAAACCTTTGACACATGAGCAGACAGGCAAGCCTGCTTACCATGATCCTTAAACTGTTTTGTGGGATTAGATAGCTGTGCACCCAGTCCTGCGGTACTGATACTGTCTTAATGCTCTGGTTAAAGCAGTCGGTCATCTCTGCCAGGTCTACATTACTCAAAGCCTTCTTTATAAAATGGAGTTTTTCTTGTCTTATTTTGTTCTTTATCTGTTAAACATTTTCCATCTGATGATTTCCATGTGCTTAGGTAAATGAACTGTTATATATTTTTTTTTCAAACTCATGCACTTACTTTTTAATAATTAAACACTGAAACATGATCCACTCATTTCTTTTTTAGTTATATTACCTCTGACTTCTGATTATTAAAGATGAGTCCCATTTTCCCCCCACCATTCACAAGCCCTATGCCATCTTCCACAATTTCTGTTGATCTGTCACTATCTATCAAGACACTATCGCCAGCTCAATGTACATTATTTATATTAGGATCACCAAATGTCATTCCTGGCATTTATTCTATAGATCTTGTTTTATATTCAAATAAAATTAAAACTTCTCTTTCTGGGTTCACCCTTAAAAGAGCGGTTGACAAGCTGTGCTGCAGTTTACAGCTAAGCTTTGATATCAGCAAAACCTCCGTCCTCATCTTAAGCAGTCGGTGCAGAGTTCCAATACCGGTTGGCTACAATCTAGTTATATGTTCGTCTTGCCTTTCCACTGAGTGTAGTGAGCCGGCTAGACCTCTGGTAACACCCTGGTGCCTCATTCTCTCCAGGCCATAATAATCTTGTTTCTCTACTGATTCTGCTGCTTGTTCCCAAAGGGCCGTGACCACATATGTCATGTATAAACAGTTTCTCTAAAGAGGACTAAATAAAAATCATCTGTACCATGCTTAAAGAAAAGAAATACTGACATCCTTATAAATCTGAACATCAAGGAAGATTGTTTAATAAATAACATCGTCTCAGAAGCTGAAATATTTTGGCCATGTCAAGCACCACAGCAGGCTGGAAAAATAATAGCAAAAGGCATGGTACCAGGAAGGAGGGAAAGAGGCTGACCAATACAAAGATGGGCACAGGATATAAGTGACTCCTTGGATATGAAAGTGCTCGAGGCAGGAGACAAGGTGAAAGGCTGATTTTTCTTTCAGGCAGACCATGATGAGAGGGACGTTCCACAAAGAACCTACTACATGATGATGATGTATCATGCTTAGGAAGGTTTCTAAAGACAGTTAGTTGTATGTGATATGAGTGGTGGTCACCTGTAGAGGCTTCAAAACTTAGAGAACATGTGTGGATCAACTGTTATGCAGAGGTGTGAAATCATCTTAATTTTTGTTCCAGGATATGGTTGTGTGAAAGACAACTGAAAGAGCAGACACCCTGGCTGGCAGTGTGACTGTCAAGACTGGGCCATCTATGGACAGGAGAGACATCATCAATGTCATAAGAGAGATTAAAACGTGATGTTTTCAATTACATGGAAAATGATTCTTCACTGAACAGACTACATATCCTGGGTGTATCTATTGGAGCAATGACACAAGAAAACCATGTGGGAGCATCATTACACAAACCAGAAGTTCTGTTGTTAGCCTAAAAACACTCAAAGATATAGGAGATTGGAGCATTTATTGTCATATCTAAAGTGTAATGAAGATAATCTTTAAATGAACAATAAACTATGCCGAAATATAATGAGAATTCATTGGTTTGTTTCAAGTATAGCGATGACATTTAAACAAAATTAAATATTCATTTCAGCGATAATTTCTACTGCAGATGTTTGGGTCTCTAAGGAATAGTATTTTTATTTTACCCCATCTGTTCTGTTCCATGATTCCAAGGCCTGTTTCAATAATCTCATAATTCTATGAACTTGCTCTACAACTCCTATTTTATCCGATTGTTCTTAAATACATATTTTATTATGAGCCCATGCCTGGCGCTCCAGCGGAGTTGATATCACATGGACGTCAGGTGACAATAACTATGTGTCTCCAGTCTCGGGTTCGAGCCAGGGGATGGCAGAAAAGCTGCATACTACCAAGATTAACGGTGTACATGGCACAGAGTCTGAAGGACTTCGATGCACACAACACTGAGCCAGATCAGCTATGCTCAGGTGCTTCTGGTTAGAAAAAAAAAAGAGCATAAAATATTTTTTTTAAATACACACAAACGACTAACTGTAACGTTGACATAAATATTAGGCACCATGCTGACCTGATATCTCGGCTCTAACAAGGTCATCCTCCGAGTCTGAAGTTACTGATGTGGAACATGACCCTGGAGACAAAACAACAGTCTGAAGATCAGATAAAAAACATTTTTTCAAACACAGAAGCTGAAACAATATGCTGAGTTTTAGAATCATTTTACTCCTTGACAAAAAGAAATATTTTTTGGTATTTTCTTTGATGTGACTGACAAACCTTTTTAGTGAAATTGTATAAAGCAGGATCTGCTTACGCAGTCAATTTTGCACTTGCAACTAATGTTTGCTGCTCATTATCTGACTGGAACAGGTTGCCATACAGTCTTGCAAATGTAATGAAAACATTTTATCAGCATTAGACTGTGTTTCCTACCATCTGGAGTCTAGAAAATATATTTTTATTTCCTCTGGTTGGACTCAGTTGATTCCAACAGTGAATTCTTTACTACAAATCCCATTCCATAATACTACTGAATTTTTTTTTCTGGCCTCTGCCTTTCTAAATGAAGGTATAATTATTCTCTCAAAGAGACCCATCCTCTGGGAGGTGTGTTTCTTGCAGGTCACCAACATTTTTTTCAACCCTGTTAAGTTTGGTATCAAGGACAGTTGCTTTTCTTATATCATTATTTTTTCAAAGTCATTGGAAAACAGAGTGTAATATGCTCATCTAGGGGTATGTGTTGTTTACATTGCTTTCAGACGAACAGTGAGTTGAAACGACACAGCATGAACGAATATTGAGTTGTTAGCTTTTATTCGTTGAATCGCCAGTTATCGCACACATACATTCACGCTTCCTCGTGCTCGTCTCG